CAGTGCGCTGACCCGGACCGACGTGTGGCCCCCCCCCTGCCACTTTCAAGGAGCAGAAATGACAAGAGGAGTCAAATGGATGCAGTGAAAGCAGGTGGCTGGCCTGCACCTTACCTGTGTGGGTACTCCGGGCCTCAGAGTCAAGTTCACATTTGAAACATTGCTGATTTGATTCATAAGTGGCTGGCGGTTCTAAATGCACACACATAGCAATCAATACATTTTGAAATAGAACGTATTATTGTTTCTAATCACCTTCCTCAAGAAGTCACCCTCCCCGACCCAACCTCTGCATGCTGTTGGGTATGGAAACCACAGGGTCTGCAGCTGAATGCCCTTGTAAAACCAATTATCAGTGAGGTTCCCACTGCTTATAACTCAGAAATTACTCTGGACTGTTTGGAAAACATGCTGGTTCCGAGGGAGAAACGGGGTGGAATGATCAGCAAAGGAGGCCAAGAGGAAGACTGGGAAAAAAGTAGAGGGAAAAAAGAGGAGATTTAAAAGCCCACAACTTTATTAGTTACTGTATTACAGAAAGCTGTCCAGGCTTGTTTTAGTGAGAACACATTCTCTTGAGCTAAACAGGTGTTCTGTAAGGCACCATCCCTCTGCCCCCATTCTGTTAAGAGTGATGATTTCTGTCAGGGGGCAGGACTTAGACTCGAGCTGCTGCTGTTCTGGGTGCAAACTTTGGGCTAGAATCTTTATTTGCCTGGAAACTGTGCTAGGACCTTTAAACACGTCCAGATTGCCCTGGACTGCACAACAACCCCATTTTACAGATCTAAACACTGAGGCTCAGAGAGCTCAAGGTTAGACCATCAGTAAGTAATGGAGCTAGGAAATCACAGGCAAGATGCTCTACATGGGTGGAGCTGGCAGAGGAGGAAGACGGGAAGGAAGTAGAACAGAGTATGAAAAGGGTAGGATCCTCGCGGACACCCTCTTAGAAAGGACAGACAGGGTTTAAGCCTCCCACGAGGACCCACCACTGTTTCTCTGCCTCAACCTACCTTCCCTATGTCCCCCACCCACACCTTCCCCGTGTCCCCTGCCCCCGGACGTTGCAGGCACAGCCAAGAACACACCTGCTGTGCTTGGAGGCGATGTTGCAGTTGAAGCCTCAGCTGGTTCGGCTGGTTCTGCACGAGGCCCGTGGGCCGCAGGCCGGGTCTGGGCTGCATGCGGAGAGTGGCATAACTGGGCCGCTGTCCCATGGTGTGAAAGTTGGGGTCCTGCATGGGCGTGTAGCTTCCCTGGGCCATCTGTGCCTGAGACGCATACTGCTGTGGGAACACAGGGGCCTTCTGCTCCAGCATGATGTTGGAGTCCTGACTCGAGAACTGTTCTGGGTCTACCGCTTGACTCTGAAGAGAAAGCCCCCAGACAACAAACAAACAAATAAACCCACTGGAGACGGCAGGGTGAACGTGGGGCTGCTTCCTCGCACTGTCCTGTAAGTGAAGCTTCTCTTCTTGTACTTACTACCCAAAGGCACTTCTGGCTTGACTCCACTGTCTTCCTAGAAAATGCCTCTTTGTTCAAAAGATCCAGTGACTCAAGGCCAGGCCAGGGGTCAGGCCTGACTCCCAGCAACACCCCTTCTGAGGGAAGGGAGAGATGGGCTGTGACTGCGGAAGGCCGCCTCCGCAAGCCGCCCACCAGACTGACCTGAACTTTAAAATGTGAATGTCCCCTTGAAGTGGTAAGTTTTTTGACTGATTAGTCATACCTGTATAAATTGTGTAAATCAGACAAGCACCTTGGTCCCTGGCTGGGATCAGCAGCGTTGGGCACCTACCACTGTTGTTCCCATTTTGCAGATAACAAAACTGAGACTTGGTGCCATGCAGCAAACTGTGACAAGCCCACCTGGCTAGTCATGGGTGGGTTCCTATCGAGTCTGTGACTTGGGACCTGAGCCGCCCACCAGGGTATGTGACTACTTCTGGGGCTGTCAGAGTTCCCTTCACGCCCCAGGCTTTGCCACCACGGAAGCATTTTAACATGTTTGTCATTCCTGACTTCTTACGGCTGCCCTGTCTGTCTGGGGCAGGTGGGGCAGGTGGGGCAGATGTAGAAATCGAGAATTTCTCTGGTGGGGCGGGGGGCACCTGAGACCCAGGTGGCCCTAAATGACTGTGTGAAGAGCAGGAAAGCGCCCCTGGCTCCTTCTCCTCTTCCGTCCACTTCGGGCGGAGCTGCTCCCAACCTCCTGATACAGAGCAGGGGGCCCAACGGCAAAATCCTCTCAGGTTTTCTTTAGCCAGTGACGCTGCAGGCCTTCCTCACTCCAGCTGACTCACGTTAGAGCAGGACCTGGAGCCACCCAGAATCTGGGCTCAGTTCAGGTCAACCTGTGCGAACTGGGCCCATTCCCCGCCTGGCACAGTGTTTTGAAAATGTGGGTGGAAACTCCTTGAAAGAAACCATTCACTGTTGAACCACTGCTCTAACCATATCCGCAAAACTATCTCAGAACTTTAAATATTTGCCCATCTTTAACAGAGAGAAAGTTTAAGTGATTTCCATTTTGCATGAAAACACACAACTCTGATGAGGGCAAATAAAGTCCATCTGTAGTCTACGTTTTCCCGAACTCTACCTAACAATCATATTTCTATATTTCAGTTTAATATGATGATATCATAAGGACTATGGATTTGATGAGACAAAATAGGAAAAACAAAAATAAATTTAAAAAAGGCTAAAAATATTAAATGATGAAACACTACCAATTTTGATAAAAACAATGCTAAGGTCACTCAGCAACCCCAAGAATCACATTTTTAAATGTCACTCTGACAAAACTCAAGGGAAGCAACGCTGAATGCTAAATTCTCACTACCACCGGAGGCAAAGCAAACCAGCCACACAGGAAGTATTTCAACTCCATTTTCCTTTTGATTTATTTCAGGTTACACTATGTAACCTCAAGTCGTTTCTTTCCATTCTGCTGTTCTCGGTATGAACCGACAAGTCTTAACTCCCACTTACGTCTGCTAAATGTGGGAATTATGACAAGACTATTTTTGATGCTTCAGAGAAGTCTCCAATGACTCTGCATCACCTTTCTCACAGACCCTGATGACACGTCATACGTCCAAGAAGTAGATCGAAGCCCGGAAGGTACTTTTTAGCAATAAGAAATAGGGATGATTCATGCTGAGAAAAGAGGAAGACAGCAGCGAGGCTGTGACCGTTTTTTCCAGGTTGCTCTTTATACAGTACACCAGGATGCCTGCTGCACACAAACTGAGCTGTGTGGCCAGACTCAGAAAGTGCTAAGTTATTTCATGAGACCATGTTATTTATTATACTGTCGCCGTTAAGTAGTCTTCAGGCAGGGAATTATTACTTTATTTACCAGGAGGGGGAAGCTACATAAGCACACTAGGGCTGGTCACCTTTCTCCTTTTCCCTGCCATGGATGCTTAAACCTCCTCCACATCACTGTGAGCTAAATCCAAGCAGAGGTCAAAATGATTACTGGATGGCAGCTACCTTTAAATTAGCCTCTGCTAACTTATGTGCAAAGTATTCTTTTAGACAAGTAGCTCCCCATCACTAGCCCGAGTTCTATGTAAAGCTCATTCTCAGCATCTACCATTCTTGGGCAAAAGTTTCTGTGGGAGTAACAAGGGGACGGGGAGACAGAAAACAGCGCTTGCTTGTTACGCGGTAAGGAAGTATTCTAAAAAGCAGACTGCAGGTTATCTGTAAACAAGAGAAAACCGACACCTCCGTGCCCACGAAGTGCTCGGCCCCCGCCAGCCTCAGCTTTGCACGGTGCCTACCTGGCTGACCAGCTCGGGTATCCCCAGAGCCCTGTCGATCTCCTCCAGGCCGTCGAAGTTTCGCAAGGCCAAGTAGAGCTGGTCCAGGAGAGCGCCTTCGTCGCTTGGGGACTCAGCTGCAGGGTGTGGGCAGAGCAGGTCATCTGGAGAGCTGCCGAACGGCTGCCTGTGGAGAGACAGGTTCATCTTGGGCTCGTGGACTAGAGAACCTTTTTTCCCCCTTAAAGACAAAAGTAGTGAAATACTGAACCAGCCAGACATGGAACAAAAAGACAACCCAGATAGTAGATACACTTTTTGTTCAGTGCCTAGCAGAGGCCGGACACACATCTAGGCCTTAGCTGTTAATGATCTTTGTTTTTACTGCCCCCTCTTTAAATCTGGCAAAGCTGAGAATTAGAGAGGTTGTCACACCATTTGGTGGCACGCACACAGGCAGACGCTGCAAACCTGGGATTCAACACTGATCCAGGTGATTCCTGACCACTGTTCCCACAAATCTACACTGACTCCTCAAGCACACACACATTTAACTTTGCACTAAAGTCATCAAAGGACATTTCTGAGTTTTAGCAGGAAAGACGAATTGACTGCAGTCTCATTTCACACCAGGCTATGATAACCTTCGGGGGGAGACTTGACCACCGGGAGCATAAAAGCTCCATTAGTTTTTTTTTTGAACTCAGCTGTTGTTAGACTACACTTGGCTGGACTAAAAGGAAATTTCTTAGTCATGCAGAAGTGGGACTTGTAAACACTTATTAAAGTCCTCAAGAAATGTGGCTGTTAGACTTCCTGAGTTAGTCAGGAGAATTGGATCATGAACACACAAATTAAATCTATTATATAAGGGAATAAAAACCTTAACACTAAACTCCGAATTATGTGGTACATGAACTAAAACTCACTGACAAAATTCACTGAGAGAGCTTATTAAAAAGAGCTTCTGATAAAAATGAAAAAAGAAAAGGAAAAAAAATAAAAAGAGCTTCTGGGTTACTTTAATACCAAAAGGGGAAAAGATAATCTAATTTGTACTCAGAGTTACTACATGGTGTTTTGGAGAAAATCAAGTTTACAGGTAAGTACCCATCTTAAGCAGTGACACTCACTGAGGGGTGAATTACCTATCCAGTTTGGTACCATGTTTCCTAAAGACAACTATGTGCCCCTTTGGCCTAGAATCCTGAAATGCTGAGGATTAAAGCAGACAGTTTCACACAGTTCTAACCCAGTATGTTACAAACAATCTATACTCTCCATCTAGCCCCAGTCGCTTGTGAAGAAAATCACCCAATGAAGTGTGCCCTCGATGACACTACTCATTCTGCCCCGGGAGCTGAGCCCTCATCCCAGGGCTGGCAAGGTATCCCAAGGGGCAGTGCAGCCACCACCACGAGCCCAGCGGGTGTGCCACACCGCCCACCCCGCTCCATCCAAGCTACGAAGGCCAGCACTCTTGGGGGCCCTGCTCTGGCCAGGGGCACTTCTCCACCAGCCTCTTCTCCCGGTCACCGCCGCGATTCTCAGAGACGCCAGGCACCAGAATAGCGCCTCCCCCACCCTTCCGCTGCCACACTCTCCCAAAATTAACTTTTTAGCACAACTGTGATCAGATCACTCCATGACTGCGACACTCAGGGAGTGGGAGGAAGGAGCAGACACAGTGGCAACAAGGAGAAAAACCACAGGCCTGCAAGTCACGGAAGCAAAGAGCGGAGGCAATTCCCCAAAGAGGAATGACCAACATTTAGATGTGGTAAATTTCATGGACAACTAGTTCAAGCCAGCCAGGAATGGAAGCTGTCCATTTACCAACCCTCTTGGATCTGGGACCTCACTCCCCAAAGATGCTAGTTCAGTGAGGTATTAAATATTTTCTTTCTCTAGCTTTATTTCATAATCTTCAACTTCTGTTTCTTTATAAGCTGTCTTCCTCCACAACCACAACCGCCGCCCCAGATCTCCCTGCTGATGGTAGGCTAACGGGAAATCGACTCTTAACTCCAGCAAGGCTGCGGGGACTCCACCTGAACCCAGACGCCTGGTGTGCATCAGACTGAGAGGCCGGGTTGGAAAGGAGGGGAGAGCATTTTGTACCTTTTTAAGACCACCTCACTCCAGGAAAGATACAGCCAAGTGCTTAAAGAAAAAAAAATCTAATGCACATGTTCATTCGCATCTATACGATTTCCTACATAATAGTAAAATAACCCGTTTTTATTACATGCTTTTTTTCCTTTCTTTAATTAAAAAAATTACACTGTGTGACCCAGATGCCTACTGTGGTTAAGGTCCCCTGCAGTGCAAGCTGGGACTCAAGATGCTTAGTCTCTCTCCAATCCTCCTGATGTGATGCTGTCAGGTTCCTTTTCCCAAAGCACACTTTACTGAGCTGACTCAAAATTCTTGCTTCACTGTCCCAGGACGATGTCTAAGGCTCTGGGACAGGGTGGTGGTGGAATTCAAGGACACACACACTTTGGTAGAGCCTAACCTCTCCCAGGGTAATGCGCACGACTTCCCTGTGGGTCCCAGCCACCTTGGGCAACTGGTCTTTTCCCAGAGGATGCCATGTGCATCGCCAGGAGGCTAAGACCTCTCATCCCACACTTCCCACTCTTGTCTCCAGCTACCATCCTCCCTTCCCAGAAGGGTCGACGGAGCTCCTGCACAGCCACTCCTGACCGCCCCAACTCTCAGCTCTAGGACCATCTACACGGTCTTGATGTTGACATTTATTTAAAAACATCAACCTCTGACCATGCCTGGTGAGGACATCTTAAATCTCTTTTGTTGGACCAGTTCTTGAACTGCGTAGGTTCAGTAAGTTTCCAGTTGGTGAAAATAAAAGGTTCCCCAACCTAGCCGAGATAGCTATCGTAACCTGTACTCAGAAAAACACACTGTGTTGTGGCTGGGTATTATAAATCTGGGCACACCGTGAGCTACGTCACTTCCCCCAGAGACATCATGATAGGCTTGCCTTACAGAAAAAATACCGATCCGTATTTCCGATCCCAGCTTTTTTCACATGTACTCTCAAAGTTCTGCAAAAGAGTAGCAGCTACTATGTGATGAGAAATAGTCAACCAAAGAAATACTCTTAGACACATTGCAAATAACAGAAAAGTAGATTAACTCAGCAATCTTGAACTTAATGTGAAAGGAAGTCTTTCAAGAAAGGGAGCTACTGTTTGCTTTTATAAATCAAACAAAAATCGTAAAAAAAAAATCACCTATAAATTTGGGGCTGTATTTTAAACATCTCTTACATACTAGATGAGTAAGGGGGAAAAACAATGGAACTACAGAGAATGAAAATTCTGCTATAAATAAATAAGTACACAAATATGTTAAGAGATCTTTAGGGCTAAATTGTTGCCTTTCTGAAATGGGTATATAAACTAATGTTGGGTTCATAAAACTTGAAGAAACCTATTTCTAAATACGTAGGTAGTAAAAATATAAACTGTTAATGGTGATACTGATAAAGGGGACTAAGGAAAAAGCACTGCTTTTCTTTTATTTTAAAAGAGAGACATGGTTAAAACCTTTGTTATCCATCATTTTTGAATTTCTATGACAGTAAGACTACCATAAAGCTGGTCATAAATTTCTTCCAAAGTGAATTATTTAAAATAAGAGGAGTTAATGCCTGGAAGAACTGAAATAACTTTAAAAGTCGTGGAAATGTTTTATTTCACCCAGAGTTCTCATACAAAGAGAACAGACAGTAATGGCAGCAGCAAGAGAAGGGGGACAGTGCTGAGTCACAGAAGTGCCTGCAGCAAACCCCACCAGCCAGCTCTGTAACGGGATGCAGTGCGTACCCTGGAATTCTTACATTTTTGTTTTTTAACAGCACCCTCCTCTGCTTGGGCAACAGTGAAAACTCGAACTTTGGGCCCAGCTTTCCCTGAAAACTAATCTTGGACATTTCATCCAAAAACAACTATCAGGTGCTGGATTCAACTACTGCACTACATTTTTATTATGAGTGAGTTTCCATGGAAATGGATTTTTTTAACATATCAAATAAACATATTTAGAAAAAGCACAATACTCACTGACACCATGAAATTAGACTCGAAGAGCTGGAAGGACCCCGAGAAAGTAGCACCCCCGAGAAAGGACTGCAGCGGTCACTGACGCGGTGCTCTGTTCCAAGCACACCCAGTGGAGGAGGCCACGCTGGTTCAGCGAGAGCCGCGCTGACCGACTGCGGTTCCTCTGTCCGCTCTCCCACGGCCTCGCTGCTACTCAAAGTGTATCGGGAGGAGCGGCGCTGCTGGCTTCCCCCGGGGCTTGTGAGACATGCGGAACCCTGGGCTCGCCCAGACCCGCCTTTCCACGAGACCTCGGAGACGGTCACAGACACAGTGGGGTTTGAAAACACTGGTTTCTCCCCAAGTGAACGGAATACAGCTGGCGATTACCCTTCCACCATTATCTCCCTAAAATAGGTATGAAGCAGTTGCCCTAACCTTCATTTCTTTCAGTGAAAAAACCCAACTTCTCCTCACACAGCCTGTTGCTGGGTTCACATCCATCTTCTGCTGTTTTGGTTCTTTAAAACCTCACTGATCCTCTGACTCTTTTATTACCCCCCTAAGAGACAGAAAGGAAGATGGCCACCACACCACAGCGCTGAGCTAGTAAGCAGCAGCACCTCGGCCCGGAGGAGGAGTCACTACAAAACCTGTGTGTATATATATTTTTTAAACAAACAAGAAGCTCTGGAAATATTCTACCCTTATGAAATTTCAGAAACCCTGCTTTCATCATTTGTAACTTTGATAAAAGTATTTTATAATTTTAGACTAGAGTAACTCGAAAAGGACACAATGTTCAGTCTGCAGTAAGGTCCTCACTGGGGCGCCAACCTGAACTCTCTACATGTGAGCCTCAAGGCCGTATTTCTCCAGTTTAAGCCTTCTCATCTGTTTACCTTCCAGAAAACACTGCCTGATCCTTTAAGTGCACACACTGCCTCTTGTTTAGTCTCCTAACTAGCCCCCTGCCTCAGGGCTCTTCGCCCACCCAACCAGCCAAGCAGCAGGTAGCCCTCAAGGTCACCTGTGTGAGATGTCTGTGCTTCCAGTGCTTTGCTAAAAAACAATGGGACTATGCATGTAACACAACTCTGATGTGTCTCAAGATCAGCTAGGAACTCCCAATGAAAGATTACCAAAATACGCAGGGAAACAGGCCACCATGAGTAAGAGTCAATCACTGGATTTAGAACCACAAGAAATCCATACGTTGGAATTACCGATTCAAGAAATTTAGAAAATAATGATGAATGTAATGTTTAAAGATACACAGACGGAATCGCGAAAATAAGCCAATGATAAGAGACTATGAAAGATGACCAGGCAAACAGAACTTTTAGCCATGAAAAATATAACCAGATTAAACACAGCTGAAGAGACATTTAATGAACTGAAATATAGATATGAATAAATTATCCTGAATGTGGTACAGAGAGATAGGGAGATGGAAAATATACAAATTAAGAATTAAGGAAGGGGGGTAGGGTGTAGCTCAAGCAGTAGACCACATGCTTAGCATGCACGGGGTTCTGGGTTCAATCCCTGGCACCTCCTCCAAAAATAAATAAGTAAACTTAATTACCTCCCACTGCCAAAAAAAAAAAAAATTGAGGGTAGAATTTTTGAAAATCTAATGTAGAAAGTGATGGTATAACATATATCTCACCAGAATCCTAGAAAGAAAGAATAGAGAAAATGGAGGAGGGGCAGTAGATAAAGGCTAAAAATTTCCAGAGCTGATGAAAAACACCAATCCACAGATTAAAAAAGGCACAACATATACCAAATACCAAGCAGTATAAATAAACCCACACCCAGACATGATGCACGGAAACTACAGCACAGCAAATACAAAAATATTTCATGAGCAATTAGAAAAGATTACCTACAAGAGACCAAAGATGATTAGACTGATAATCAGCACCAAAAATATTCAGTCGACCTTGATCACATACAACTTCCTTTTTCAAAAAATTTCTTCAGTGTCTGAATGAAAAAAGGCTGAATTCTTCAGAGTTTGGTATTTAGGACCTTCTATAAATCTATTACTAACCTACTCTTACAGCTAAATCTTCTGATACTGGCTTTTATTTTATTTTTTTTAACGTGGTGGAATATACATAACATAAAACCACACTGTTCTCTGTTACCCTGAACGCTTCTGTAACCTCCAGCTCTGAGGGCGCTGCTCTGCTAGACGGACTGGCTTCCTGTGTCTCTGCTTCCTGCAGTGATACCCTTTCTTCCAGGCTCTGAAGCTCTCCCCAGTCACCCCAACTGGATGACCTCTTGAAGTATGGTTGATTTCTCTCAGCACTTAAGGCACATAGCACCCCTCATACTACAGCTATCAGTCTACATATTTTATTTCCCGACTAAATTGTAACTTCTTTAAAGTCATGCCCTAAGTCACGCTGATTTTTGGATTCCCCCCACACCCCTGCACTGCCGGCTCAGTTAATGATAAAATGTGAATAGATGACAACTGGTCAGGCACCAACTATTCAAAGGGGAGAGGGGACTTCTGGCCTGGCCTGAGGCAACTCATGGAACTCAGGAACTGCGCTCTGGGCCTCCCGGGTGCCCAGCACTCACCTGTTCTGGCTGGCGAACGGGGCCTGGTCTATCGGCAGGATGCTTTCCGGCCACGGAGCGGTCTGGTTTGGAGGTGCCTGCTGTTGGCTATACTGAGGTCCCCCCATGTTCATCTCTAATTCAGATGGCCCTAAAAAGAGAGAATAGAACAACCCCCACATCTTACAACTTGTAATCAGGGAAGTGTCTGTTTTGGCTACATTATATAAAGTGAAGTATCTGGTTCACAGAAAATGAAAAAGAAGCAATAATAACGAGGTGAAGCTAATGACAGAATTTTGGTTTTTTAAAAAAGGGCAATAAATATTAAGACTAATCAGCCACTTCAGGGACTATCTAGACCAGCTGTCCAAACCTCTTGTAATATCTTACTGATATTTACTGAAATGGAAACTAAAACTGGAAAATGATTATCAATTTATTTAAAAATCACCATAATAAATCCAGTATGTTAGCATAAGCAAGGTTTTTTTCTTCCAGTTTTATTGAGATATAACTGACATGTAGCACTGCACAGGAAGTATAAGGCGCACAGCATGATTTGACTTACATACATCATGAAATGATTAAGTTTAGTGAACAGACACAAATGAAAAAAACGAAATTTTTTTTTCCCTTGTGATGAGAACTCCCAGACTAACTTTCATATGTAACATACAGCAGTGTTCACATTAATCACGTTATATGTTAGGTCCCTAGAAATCGTTTATCTTATAACTGGAAGTCTGAACCTTTTGACTGCCTTCCTCTGATTCCTCCTCCCCACACTTCCCTTCTAATAACTATAAATTTGATCTCTTTTCCAATGACTTTGTTTGCAACACATAAACAAGATTTTTTTTAGTGAACTCTACTGTATGTCCATGAGAGAATGAGAGTGAAAAAGATAAATAATTTTAATCTTACTATGGAAATAGTTTTGGCCTTGCAGACCCCTTAGGGCATGGGGTCCTGGACATACTTTTTTTTTTTCCCCTGTGATTTATCATAACATTTTGTGTATATTTCCCTGTGCTATACAGTGTAATCTTGTTTATCTATTCTACAATTTTGAAATCCCAGTCTATCCCTTCCCACCCTCCACCCCCCCCCGGCAACCACAAGTCTGTATTCTCTGTCCATGAGTCTTTAAATTCCATATATGAGCGATCTCATCTGGACATACTTTTGAGAAGTGCTGGTCTACACTACCTGCTCCGAAACTTAATGGACTGCACTGCAGTTAACCCTTCCACCAGAGTAGAGGAGCAGAAAGGAGGCCCAGGCAACTCAGATGTGCTCTTTCTTAGGAGTTCTTGTTAGGAGTTTAAAGCTAGTGTTTAAGCTAATGACATGAGCTCTTTAACGATTTGACTGTCATTATCTGTAGACCTGTTTACATTTCAACTGTAATTTTCTATTGATTTCACGGCTTTGTTGTTGTTGTTGTTTAACGGTGTTTTTGAGTTTATTTAAAGGATCAGAGAAACTCAGCGACACAATGAAGCTCATAGAGCCTTATTTCGAGCTCAAAAGCCAGGTGCCCTTCAGTGAAGAATGAGGATAAATGAAGTTTCTGGATAGAAGGGATTTATTATTCTGATTTTTAAATGAATGAATCATTAGTTTTAAAACTTCCCAGGTTCTTTTTGCATGGAAACTGGCCATTTTTAGCATTTTTCATGCAAGCCTCAAATTATGTGAATTTATGTTTATGGAACACACATTAGTTCCAAGTAAATTCTCTGTAGAAAGGCAAGATTAATGTCATCTTTCAGAAACAATAAACCAAAATGTGCTGAGCAATTAAACTGGGAAAGAAAACCGATGCTGGGGGGTAGAATCTGTATGATCTTGTCAAAACAATCCTGGCATCTTCCTGTTAGCTTCCTGATTTAGCTCTGACTCATTGTTAGTATCTAAGAATATGAAAAAGTACATAAACATCAACTTATCTGAATTATACTAATGTACACGATAAGAGGAAGGTTAATATGTCAATGATTAAGAAAATGATCTCAAGGTGTGAGTTGCACATACCATTAATTTTTTGTTAATAATGGTTTTACTTTGTGCTGAACACTGGAATTTGACACAACATTGTAAAATGATTATAAATCAATAAAAAATGTAAAAAAAAAAAGAATGAAAAAAAAATAATGGTTTTACTGAGATACAATTCACATACCATATAATTAGCCCATTTAGAGTGTATGATTCAGTGGGTGTTAGTGTATCTGCAAAGCTGTACAATCATCACAGTGATCAATTTTAGGACATTTTCATTCCTCCAAAAAAGAAACCCCATGACCATGAGGAGTCACTCCCCAGAACCCCCTCCAGAAACCCAACCCAGGGAAACCACTAATCTACTTTCTTTCCCTCCAGATCTGCCTATTCTGGGTATTATGTACGGATGGTATCACAGAATGTATCAAACCATTAATTTTAATAACACGTGAACTGTATCCAAATAGAATTCCAGTGATCCTTACATTTTGTGAGATGTTCTGTAAGACCCTGCACCTTCAGTGAGGACCTGGGAGAGCTGGCTTTCATAGTCTAGGGCCGTGGCCCAGGAATCTGCATCTTAATGTCCTGAGATGATTCTGAAGACCATGAAGACTTAGAAATCACTGCTGTATCACTGTAATACTTCTTTAAAATATCATCTATACTACATTCACAGTGTTACACTCTAATTCACTCCCCATAAAAGTTGAAATTAGAGAATTTAATGAGAATAAAACATCACAAAGGTAGTGGGTTCCTCATGTAACTGGAAAACCTGCAACTTTATGATTCTATGATCCTACGCAGAGTTCCAGCAAAAGCCTACTTGTGACAGCTTGACACGGGCGATTACCTAAACTGCAAATAGGAGCACGTCTGGACAGAACGTAGGGAGCTGCTCCTCTCCTCTAAGAAAGCATAAAGATGAAGAGCACAGAGCACGGGAACTACCTTACCTATATTCATGACCTGAGGCTGCAGCATCTGTCTTTGGCCAGGCTGGCTGTTGGGTCTCATGGGGATGCTGGCTGTTGGGTTCCGAATCATACCTCCTTGGATCGGCCGGTTCATGGCACTGGTGGTAGCAGCACAGGTGACTCGCACAGCAGAACTCTGTGGTGCCCATTCCCCAGCTGGCATAGTGGGCCGGGCGGCATTACTACCAATCATGCCTGCAGGCAAGCCAGAGAACTGAGAGGTGCAGAGACTGGAAACATAGTCAGCACGTATGAACGCCAGATGCTCTTACTCTGTACACAACAACTGTTCTTAACATACAGCCCGACAGCAAACGCCCTCCCCGGGACAGACGTGGGCCCTTGGCTAAGAAATATGAATTGGCAATTACTACGAAGTTTTTCACAACATGGACTTGCCACTCTTTACAGTTCGGAAAAGCTGTTAAAATTGTTCCCATATGTACTTAGAAACAGGTGCTGTGGCGTGTGGATAACCCCAACTTCCTTCCTCAGGAAGTGAATCACATTAGCTGACATACACGTCAACACTTTACTTTCCAAAAGGGAGGTAAGGCTAAGAGGAACAAGGTAAAAACTGATAATCAATACTCTAATTATAAACCCAAATCACAGAGAATATCCCACGAAGCCTAGGCCAGCCTTTAAATCCGCAAATCCCTCTCAGAGCATGACTACTGGTTAAGCTTCAAAGCTGACCAAGGCAGCCTCGGAAGCAGGGCAAACGACAGGGTCTCTCCACTCCAGTTCTTTATGGCCAAGGCCAGGGAGCTCCCAGCACCTCGGTGAACCTGGACCACCGCATTCCTGATGGCAGAGATCTAGGGCGGGGTGCGGCAGACTTGTGAAAATCCTTCTACACTTGAGACAGTAACAGCTGTTCGACCACACAGACCAGGGAGAAAAGCACAGCACTGCCGGGCAGATCACATGTTTGCTCTCTCTCGTCGGGCCCCTCCCAGGGAGGCTGGCACTGGCCAAACATTGCTAAGCCCTGATATCCTAAAGGGGAACGACCCCAGGGGAGTCAAAGTGTTCAGTGATGGATGTGTGAAAGTTCCACTTTCAAATGCGTGGCTTGTTTTCATTTATTTTAATTACGATAAACAACTGAAAACAGGGTTTATTTAAGAAATGGAGAGAACATGTATTGTGGGTGGGTTTTCATTGGTAAAATGAGAATGCGCTACATTAGGATGATTGAGAGTGAAGGGTAATTAATTAGACTGAACAAGTTAGAACAGTATTATATTAATACATATTTAAAAAATCATTTTAAGGCTAGATTTGAACTATACTAAGATACGGGAGAAAAGGCATTTTATTTTTCAAAAACATCTATTACCTAATTAATATGACAAAATTATAGAAGTCTAGGAACAAGGGAAAATCATCCATAATTCAAAAACATTAATGCAATTATAACCAGGGTAGTCTCTTTCGGGTTTTTTCTTTTTGCAACAAAGCACAGGCATTGTACGATCTTCACAGCCTGGATGCCAGTCATCTCCAGGCTGCCCAGATTTGAATACAGGTCCATCCCCAAATTCCTAGATTCCGACCTGACCCAGATCTTTTTGCATTCCACCAACTGGGAGCCACCTTTAATAAATCACTGGCTCCTTTTCTCTTATAAAATTTCACAAATTAATATTTTAATCATATAAAAACAGTACTTTTTTCTTTTAAAAAATGATATAAAAATTGTTGAGTGAATCAACTATTTTCATACAACATAGTTCATACTTCCCATGAATTGCTTACCAACAATATAAAGTTAAAAAAATCCATCTTTTCCCCTTAAATTGAACTCTCAGTTTCAGTTAACTATCCCAATGGCAATGTGCATACAGGGATTAGATACTAAGCTAAAAAAAATACCAAGAATTAAAACCCACGAGTGTAAGTTCTTTTTATAACACCTGTTTCTTTCAACATCTTTGTCTCCATCACCTCATTTTGACAAAGGAAGAAAGCTGTAAACCGTGAGAAGTTCATTAAAAAACTTAGCATCCTGCTGTATCTGTGATAAACAGATATTACAGGGTACAGGACGCAGTGGTAATAGCAACTAATGCTGCCGCAATGATTTCTAACCTGCAGTGGCTGGAGGACTGGGAACACGGCAGCTGCCAGGGCAGAGGCTACCACTTAGGAATATGCAAATTGGCAGACACCTTAAGTCATTACGGGTCAAGATCCTAACCAGATCACAGGCAAATTCATACATCTTCAAAAATGGAGCCCCTGGATTAGTAACTATTATGCCAGGCGTATTACCATTTAAAGTTCTTTATTTTTAATTAGTATTTTTCAGAATGAGAATCGTTATCACTGATGAGCATAACAGGTTGGCTGCATTTTGAACTTTCATTCTGAAATTCGCTAAATACAAACTATCGATTAAGAGGAAGTTTGGGGGTTATCAGTAGATTACCACGAGAAGCCAGCGACCACCAAATTATCTTACACGTACTGCTACAATGTCTAGAATAGTAACTGGAATAGACGTGAAATAAATCTACGCTACAGGATTAATGATTAGAAACCTTGTAAAAGTAACAAGCACAGAACAAAACGGTCAGCTTACTGGAATGTTTTCCACTGCCTCTCACGGTGAAAACTGGCCGAATTTTCTTACATTCAAATGTTAGTTCCTAACGTTAAAAAATTCACTTGAAGAATCCTACTAGTTTGATGTGGATGAAATACATCAACAGTTAAATAACCCACCAATAAAGTTAACAGTGCATTTGAGCCCTTACCTGTACTACTGTTCCCTAAGTTTCCTTGGTTTCCTATCATCCCTTGATTACCCATCATTCCTGGCTGAGGTATCACTGAGTAGGGACTATTGTTTCTGATTGGTGGGAAAGGTCCAGCACCAGTTGGGCTTTGCAATGTGATGTCAAGTGGTAAATTCTGGTTTGGCAATAACCTGCCCAGTTGCCCTGGTCGTGGGTTATTAAAAGCTAAGGAGAAAACAAATGAAAATTGAAGGTTAATATAGGATAATGGAAAAGAATAGTAACAGAAGTAGTGTTTAGAGAAAATGTCATTTGTAATATAATAAAGCTATGCAGTCAGGGACCAATTGCCTACATAAAAGACAAATTCACAGACGAAAAACGTATGTGGCACCAAAATACAGACTCACAATCTAATCGACAGTCTCTTATTCTTGACAGCCTTGCAAAACAAAAAAGGGAAAAAAAAGAGAACATGTCTATCACTTACCATAAATTTTTCTCCAATACTTACTTCTAATATTCAATTCTATTTGCTAAGTAAACTACTAATGTTTTTTCCCACATGTTATATTATTTGAACTTTGGAATATTGCTTTGTCAGAGCTGTGAAGCCATAAACATTTCCCACATATAGCACCAAATGCAGACATACATGTGGTTTGGACATGAGAATATCATTTTCTTAACAGGACTTTCCTAAGGCTAGAGTTAGGCTAAACATGTCTACTCTCATTGGAATTTAAAATCCTTAAGTGTGAACTCTGGTACCTGAAGTCAGTATTAAAGCTTTAGGGCCCTGTTTCATCTTCTCAACAGAGCTTCTTACAGTTTCAGACACACATTTACATTTGAAATAATTCCTAGGGTTGGTTCACAGGAATGTCTAGTGTGTAGGTACTACACCAGGGCACCATACTATCACACAGACAACCAGTAATTTGACAATTGTTTTAAAAGTACAAAGATACAGTTAATTACAATTCATAGAGCTAATGTATCAAATAATATCAAGTACTTTATTTTCCCTAAATTATAGGAGCACAGTACGAAACAGAATATTTACTCCTAACGATCAATCAAAGAAATGAAATATTTAGAAGACTTAGGGTTTGGAATACAAAATTATGTACATGCTTAATCATGACTTCCTCAGTTTAGTTACCTGGTTACCGCTCACTTGTCTGAATACAATCGGGAGGTACAGACGGAGGAACAACCATGCGTTCCCACGCAGCCTTCCATTAACTCCTCTGCGTAATGAGCATAAACTGGCTAGTGTGTTTCTTACTCACTTCTGAGCTTTCTGACTTTGTGATCTCTCATGGGCCATAAGTAACCCTCAGATTCCTAAGAAATAGGCAGGTTTTGACAGATAGCAAATAAAAACTCTGTTTTGTTTTACTTTTTTTCTGAATGATCAGGAATCGTGAGAAAGGATCTATTAACTGAAGATATTTTGTGACTTGGCTGATGGTTGCCATTTCTGATTTGAGAACAGATGCTAAGCTTTGGGTCAAACTGTATTTTAAGAGGGGAAAATCATTCTGTTCACCAATTTAACACTAAAGAGGTTCTCTGTCTTTCTACAAATTATGTCCCTGGCACAGGAAACATTATTTTCTTCCACTCAAAAGCAGTGGACACCTTTAACTACCCAGTTTTGTAAACTAAGTGTCCACAATGAAGAAAGACTTCATCTTCAACTCACAAATATATAAAATAAAAATAATAAAAGAAGTGATAAAAAATGTATTTTATAAAAGTCTACGGTCTTCCAGCTTTATATCACACTAATGAAACTTAAAATGCACTTAGAAAACATTTTATGATAAAGTTCCATGTGAAATTGATACCTGTATGAGAATTCCTAAGGGGCAGGACAAGTTATTTTTGATGTGTGTGTGTGTAGCCCTTTCATGTGTAATGATTAAATATTTTGGTAAGAATATTTTTAGTTCCTAAAAAGTCAGCATAACTTTCTAAGTTTCTGTATTGTAAGTATTCAGTCACATATTTAGCCACACAAAAATCTATTTTAAACTCCATTTGTGAAGGCAGTTAACTGAAATGAAGGGAAACATGACAATCATCTGAAGAACCTTATCTATGCAGGTCTGTCTGACTCCGCGTTGATGAAATTAACCACCAGACTGTGTGCAGGAGGGCCACATTCCCTAGAATCCATTCTCCATACTGCCTAGAAGGGCCAGGACAGTAGATGGTGCTATTTGACCATAAAAACCTTGAAGTGACTAAGCTGTTTGCATCAGATTTTAGTAATCCCTGTTTCTGATGGTGATTACATGGGAATTTCTTGCCATAACCACCAATATCTCATACTCACTGCTCTGTGAAATTCGCAGTGCTGTTTTCTGGGCTCCGACAGGTGTAACCGGGCTGTTCTCGGCTGTGAGTTGCATGAGGTCATTGATGATGGCTTGCTTGTCCACTGATCCGGCGGGGGCGCCTGGCCTCGTGTCTGGGAAAAGCTGTGGTAACTGACTATTCTGCAAATCATCCAAAATCTCCTCCAAGTTGTCCAGCTCACTGCCAGGCTGCGGTTAACAAACAGAGGAGTTTATCCAGTCCTATGCAAAGAGTGGGCGCAGCAGGCCCGTTTGCAATTACAGACCTACCCCGTATGATGTAAGGCACCAGAGCCAAATAAAAGACGCAGACCCACGGGGACGCAGGCCTAACTGATCATTTTTTAAAAAAACTAAATAGACAAAGGACAAATAATTAGCTCTTGGTCCTCAATTTCCTCATCTGTAAAAACAGAGAGGACTGATTTAGAGAGGAAGCCCTCCCCCAGCACTGTGACTCACTGGCAATTTATAAATAACCCTTTATTTTCTGCTAATAATTCAATTATTCACGAGTATGTGTATTTCTAATTAGCCGTAAGGGTACTATGACTTACAGCCCAGGTCCAGGTTTTGTGGCTAACTTTCCCGAATAAATAACAAAAACCCAGCAGAAAATATGACCCAAATTTATACTAAATCAGTATTTAGTAAATGATCATTTCCTTTTAGAAAGAACTTTGTTTTTTGTTTTTGTTTTTTAAGAGCAAGGGGTAAAATGCATGGTGAGCCTGAAGTAACCCTGAATAGCTCGGCACTGCCTTTTCCATTTGAGTGTTTTTTCCCGCTTACACTTTCAGTTTCGAATGACACTGGCTTTCTCAGTCACTCCCCAGTTCAGGTGACAAGCGCAGAGAAGTAGCATAACAACAGGTTGTCCCCAAGCACAGCATCTACTACTAATGTGACTTTACAGAAGCCATAGAAATGTTTCTTACGGCTTTTTCCGGTATTAAAATAATTTCATTTCAATTACCAACATTAAAACAAGGTACGTTATTACCATTTCATACGCAGCGCTTTTCTTCCAGAGAGCTCAACTGAATTTATGTTCTTTTAAGTAGAACCTACCTACGTGCCAAGTACTTAAAAATCAGACAGCACAACCACACAAGAAAATGGCTAAGTTAAATGCCAGGACAACTTTCCGGTGAAGAGAGCGGTAAGAACGATTCTCTTGATGTGTAGGTGGAAAAACACACAAGTTAGGCAATTTCCCCAAAGTCACTGGATGGACTTTGAATTCTTGACCATGACTAACACTTTTGTCTACACTGGCAATTCACATGAAATCATTTACATCTGGTGGGAGGTATACTTAAAGCAGAACGGCTCACAGTTTTATCCTACACCCAAGGAGCTGGATTTACTAAGGTTTTTGCAATTTATCGCAAATGTAATATCTACACAGGAAGTCTTTTGACTGGACATATTTCTCAAGTTAGAAAGGATAAAATGAAGTGATATTTTATCTGATTCTACTCATAGCCAACTAACTTAGCAAGAACTTGGAGAGCCATTTTCCAGGGAATTCCTATCACATTGTTAGGAGCAACTACAAGACCATTTTCTAGTTAATTTAGCTACCCGTTTCTGACAAAAGATTGGGAGGGATCAAATCTGGGAGAGAGACATCTTAGGCAAGGGTTAGGTTCCAGTTAGCACCCTAAAACATAGACAGACACAGACAAAATGATCCTGAGAACAGCTCAGGAGAGAGCCTTCCTGAATGCCCCCTCCAAGGGCAACACAGCCAGCTTTCCCTCCAGGATGGAAGCACATCCCTGCTTCTTTGGCTGAGTCCAAAATGATGAAGTTTACATGGGGGTCACGCTGCACTTAAAAACCTGAGCTGCAGCCTTGCACTGCTGGAGCTTCATGGGAACCAAAACCCAGTCCCATCTCGTCCTCACTGCATGATCAGTCCGCTAGGGCCCGAGCGCTCTGGGGTCAACGGTGGGCAAGACTGCTCACACTACTGAGCCATTTAGTATCCACCTCTTTACTTTCTGAATGTGTATGGACGATTCTGTGCAAGTTAAATGTATGCGTAAAGTCACACTGCAAATCTGCCGTTACCATGTTTTGCTGAATACGTATGGTGCAAACATCAGTGCCAACGTTTACTGCCCTCCAAGGACAGGGCCTGGGACACAGAAATGGACACTTAGTCAACCCGATGAGTTCCTTTAACCATGTTAACCTGTAATTTAAAAAAACTTCCCAGAATCAACTCAGTTTGTCACAGAAATTCCTATAGTTTCTCAGAAAAAAGTTTCATACACATTTGATAAATATCCTTATAGTTGTGTCATGAAAACAGCTACAGAGGTTAAGAAAGAGGTTCTAATAAACTGTGAAGTTTATCGCTGTCCTAGGAAACCAGCCTTCCCTAGTACTAACGCTGTCTCAGGTAGAGTATTTTGAAACATGGACCTTGAAATTCATCGCGTGTGGAGGGGTGAGAAGGGTGCGCTATAAGCTGTTTCTTAAGAAAGCTTTGCAGAACGCCTTGAATCCAAAATAAATAAATAGGTTCATATAAACAATAATAAAGCATATTATTTTCTTCAGTGGAGGCTCTTATATTTACTCCCAATCCCAGACGTGTGTAAAGAAAGCTCTTACAATACAGATTAACAGTCTGGCCTAGACTCCCACCTCTCCTTCTTTCACTCTTTTCACACAAATTAAATTATACTTTAAACCATCTTGAATGGTTTGAAAAACACTGAAAAACTTGAAAAACAACTATGATAGTTTCAAAGAGTTCTAATGATAGGATTCACAAGTCTCACTTTGTGATCTACTCTCACGTCTAACATAAGGAATTTAAAATAAACCTAAAGTTACTCTATATATACAAATATATATTAAAATATATTTAGATGGTTTAAATCAATTTATTGGTTCTTTACTTCAAATAATTAGATCATATAAAATCCATGACTTTCCTTGGTTGATTTTTATTTTTCAAAAGCATGTATTAAAACTGACTTTCAAATTTTAACCTTTATCATTTTAAGAGTTGACCAAATTCAACTGTGGATCAGTCTAGCTTTGACAGGTAACTAAACACTTACTTATCTGAAGAAAGCCATACAGGAACTTCTTGGTGTACTATATTCAGACGGAATTGGTTCTTTGGAGACCCATAACTATGAACGCTATTTGAATTCATTCAGTTTTTCAGAAAAAGGCATTGTGAGATAATGCATTTCCCCACTAGAGATAATATGGCTTTGCTTGTGTTCATTTCTGGTCCATTTTTGCAGTACACATGTAAATTTATCCAGTGGTCTTAAATTTTACCTTAAATGTTCTTCAAGGAGAGTATCTATATGCCTTTGGTTGTCTAGCAATAAAATTTGACGACTATGGTATTTTCTTCTGCAGTTCATGTAAGTTCTGAAAGAGCTGGATTTGATCACACTAAGTTTCTGATCAAACATTCTACTCCTAAATTTTTGTAAGCTTTAATTCTCATCACAAGTTCTTCGAGTTCCTATCCACTTTGTTAGGCATGATTTCTTCACAAGACAAAAAGATTAATGCCTTCCTTTCAAATGCTTTGCCAAGATACTTCAAAGTTTTGCTTAGGCATCTATTCGAATGCTCAAATTAGCCACATCAATTTGAATAGTTGGTTTAAACTATTTCAGGCAGAAAATGAGTCAGAAAGATTTTTGTAAAAGTTCTACAAAATGCAAATTGAACTTGATTTCTGTAATTTTTCATTTTTCTGGTTTTATGAATTTTTCATGTGTCAAATCATTTTGTTCTCTGAAGGAAATATAAAGAACATATGCATGTATTCTAATAAATTACAAAACAGCGTTTCAAAATTTTAAAAGAGAAAGTATGATTTTACCACATCTGCCTAACATAAAATTGTTTTAAAAAATGATAACAATTCTACCTCATTCGGAGGGAAAAATCTCAGGACACTACCAGTTTAAAATATGGCTTGCTTTTCTAATGGAGCCAAATAACAAGGAATTCTTTTTAGACTACTTCTAAACGCTCACCATAAGTGGCTCAGTAGTATTAAGAAAAGAACTAAGAGTATCATTTTAGTTAGCATCATTTACACATGCTCCATTGTATAAAAACATAACTTACAGGTTGGTAAACATTGGACCTTTTTCTGCCCTTGTTTTCCTGCTGGTTGTGAAACACTGTAGAAACAAATGCTGTTCAAATACTCTACCCAGTGAAGAATGCTATTTTAGGTATAACAGCACCATCGAATTACTTCCTGCCCTTAATAAGTCAGTGATAGGTCAAACACACACTCCGTTAATGGCTCTTCTCTGAATCAAAGTAACAAGACTCTGCAATTCACGCTCGTTAAAAGTTTATCTGACTAAAAATGTGTTCCCTTGAAAGGAAACGAAAGGAAAGTCTTCAGTAAACAAGTATGGGGGTTGGTAGGAGATCCAATCAATCTGTACTTGGAGGTAAAAGAATCCCTGCTTTTTTCTTTAAGTAACATTCTAACTTTGATCTAAATTTAGGTAACATGCTTCCTGTGGTAACCTTCTTTTCAAGTTGCAATGTTTTTGATGTTAAAATTGCTCTGCAGCAGTATTTTTTTGGTGGAGTTTTAAATGGGAATGGATGGAGGATAAAACCAGGGACTGGGTTTCATTAAGAAAAAACTGTGTGTGTTTGTGTGTGTGAGAGAGAGAGAGAGAGAGGGAGATGGTTCCCCCCTTAAGTAACAGATCTGTGCTGATCACACTCTAGGCTTTGTGTTCCCAAGGTGAGGCAATTTAGACCAGAAAAATGTTTCTTTTAAACACCAATTAGAAACTGCAGGTGGCTCAAGGACTTTAAAAAGAAAAAGAAAAACCCCCAAACTTTTTTGTCAGTTTCTTGTATGAAATTAGTATAATCATACATCTAAATATGGAAATGCCAAACAGCATCCCCTTTCCCTGACCCTGTCAGTCCCGAGGGCCTCAGGCCTGGGATAGAAGTACATTCTGTTTATGGAGGGAGGGGCCAGCCACTCAGCTGCCAAGCTAAGGTGGACCTCATGAGTCACCATCTTGCCCTCCAGCATGCGTCAGGAGACCTGAGTGACAGTGTCACTTGGAACTGCCACTAGCTCTGGGTATTTCAATCTACTAAACCTCAAAAGGTGACAATGTCCACAGCTGTCAATATGGTTTTACACTACATCCTACCCAAGATATTGTTATTAACTGTCTGCTGAGCTCCCAGCTTCCTCCGTCCAGTGATCTTAACAGCATTACAGAATAGCAGTCACACGGAACTCCACACTCACATCCAAGTTTAAGGATTAAGCATCAAAGATGTTTACATAACTACACCGTGTTCGGGCACAAAGGCCTGAAGCCTCCTATCTGCCTCACAGGAGTGGAAGCAGCTGTCCAGATCGCAAAGTGAAAGAAAGACAGGAAGCTGCGTGCCCAGGACCTGGAAGGAGCCCGGCCTCAGAGCACACCCGGCCTCGCCCCCATCAGTGCTCTCCATCCTGGGGCCGCCCCAGTGGCCTCTGCCCAGGAGGTCCAAGGTTACCCTAAGTGGTGCTGCTCTCCCCTCTCCCATCCACACCATGTCCCTGAAGACAGCCACAGCTAAAATGCTCACTTGCAACAGAAGTGCCGAGGACAAGTCAGCAAACAATTTTAAGCAGAAAGGGCCATGCTGTGCCTTCACTTCTTAAGGCAGCGCTCAGGGGCTGTGGAGTTGATGGAGCCCTGGATCGTTAAGCTGGCCGGTCGTCGATTTACCAGGAACTGCCTTGTGCCAAGCCATTACTGTCAGCAATAACTCAATTTTTTTTTTTTTAAAGAGGTACTGGGAATTGAACCCAGGACCTTGGGCATGCTAACCATGTACTCTACCACTGAGCTATACCCTCCCCCAATAACATTTTTTTTTTAAAGAAAGAAAAATATTAAACGGTTGCATTTCTCTGTGACGTCACTAATTCCTTATAGAGTGTCATCTAGAATGATTCTGAGTATTATTTTAACAACCTTGGATTTTTTTCAAGAAATTAATTTTTCAGATGAGAACATAATGTGACCTGTTATTTCAGTTCTGTGTTTATATGTGATGGCTCAGATATACCAACTTGACCTCACCTTTCCTACTATCCATTTCTCCTTAGATACTTCTTATACTGATGGTCTACAAAATTCTTTAGCATTAATCAGAAGTTTTGGTTGCGAATAAAGACAGAGTGATCTTCATTTGGTTTGAAAACCAGTCAGACTGATCTTAAAAAGAGAGGAAGGTGAATAAGAAATAATTTAATTAAGCCTCTCCCGACAAAGCCCAGTTTCAAGGAAGTGATTATCTCCAATTTAGGTAACTTCTAATAACAGGACTCAGAAAGCCACAGCTGGCCTGCCGGCTAAGTCCTGCCCACCACCTGTTTCTGCATGGCCCACGAGCTAAGAATGGATTTATATTTTTTAATAGTTGAAAATAAAAATCAAAAGAAGGGTATTTTGTGACACACGAAACTTGTATCAAATTCAAATATCAGTGCCTGTGGATAAATCTGATAGGGACAGAGCACACTCGTTTGCTTCTGCAATGTCTAGGGCAGTTTTCATGCTGCAGTGACAGAACTGACCATCTGTGGCAGAGGCCACGTGGCCTGCAAGGCCTAAAATATTACCCTTTGGCCCTTTACAGAATAAAAGTCAGCGTCCCCAGCTCTAGAACCGTGTCCCTCTTCACTGGACATTTGGAACATGCAGCTCCAGCGGGAATCAACTCTCTTTCAAACCAAGAACGGGAGAGAAGGCTTATTTTTATCGAGTCACCTGAGGCCTCAGAATGCCCCTGTGGAGAAAATCCCTGACGGACACGGATTAGTACACTGGGCAGGACCCATGACCAAACTTACCTGCTCACTCGGCTCAAAGCTCATCTCCTCCTTTTCAGTTTTCATAGCTATTAATTTTGTGTTACTGGCAGGGTCTGTCTTACTGTCCAGTCGCTCAAGTTTGGGGGTTATTTCTGGTAAACCAATATCTTTAGTATCATCTTTATCGAGCAAATAGCGAAGTAGTGCATTCTCTTTCTTCTTGGGGCTCACTGGCTCCTGTTTAATAGTCACCTCGGAACCAGGAGCCGTGCTGGTGGCCTCCTGGTTCAGCTCTTTGCCCGTGGCCTCTGCTGTTAACTTGGCCAGGTCCACGGGGGAACTGCTGTCCTGCAAGAGTCTGTGCAAAATCTTATGCTTCTCCTTGAGCGAGGTTCCGTGCGTCGACCCAGAACCAGGCAAGCTGCCTGCGGAGTCCTTGTTTGCGTCCGACAAGGAGCTGGACAAGGGCGAGGGCTCCATCTGGTCCGATTTGGTGGTCAACAGCTGCAGGAGCTTGGTCTGTCCCTTGCCGTCGTGCAGCCTGCTCTGGCCGTCGGGCCTCTCGCTGCTCACGGCCGGGGCCAGGCTGGGCTCGCTCGCTTCCTTCTGCTCCCCGGCGTGGCAGCTGCTCTCGGCCTGTCCGGCTGCGCCTTCCGATGGCTCCCCGTAAAGTCCAAAACAGTCTTTGGAGTCTAAACTTCCCATCTTGCTGAGTGGGGGAGGGTTCATATGAACCGGGGAGTTCTGCAAATTGCCCATTTTCAGGTCCGGCGAAGCCAACGACGACCCCAGGGAGACCCCGTGCCCCTCGCTGAGGGCCTGGAGCGCGTTGAGGGAGCTGTTGGTGTAGCTATGGCTGTTTCCTGTGCTGCTGCAAACTCCCACGGGGGAATGCAAGCTTCCCGCAGGGGAGAACTGGCTGGGGGGGACCCGCGGGCTCCCAGCCACTCCAGGGCTCATGCGATGCCTCGGCGAGAGCATGGAGTTGGGCTGCCCGGGATTCATGCCAGGGCTGCTCTGTGAGGGGCTGTTCATTTTTAGTGCATAGTTGCTACCCTGAGGAGTGGCCGCCTGCATGCTCGACACGTGGTTCATTCCCCCAGAACCACCAAACCTGCCCATGGGCATGCCCATCTGTTCCTTTGGGCCGTTTATGGGGAAATTCATATTGCTGCCTAGGCTCATGTCCTGACCTGGGTTCCCACTGCACAGGGCCTGATGGGCAGGGCTGCTAGAGCTAATTGGATTCAATGGCTTCCCCAGCGCTTGTCCAGTCAGATCCGGATTCATCACACACACGTTCTGCTCTCTGCAGGATGAGGAAAGAAACACAAGATAAAAGGAAGAATGCTTAGCAAGTTGTTATTAACTTTAACAAATGAGATCGCCTCATTAAAAGAAGAGACTACATGTAAAGGAAAGATAACACTCTGATGAAGCAATCTGCAGTGACAGACAAGACTGAACGTGCATCGTTTTGGACCAAGAGGGGTGTTTTTCAGTCAACTCATTAAGATGTTTGTAGTTTTACAGACAGGGCTGTGTTTAAATTTGACTACTACCATATTGAGATCGTAGCTGCTAGACAAGACATTAGAAGGGTTCCAATTACATAATACATCTTTCTCATTAAACGGTTATCATGAGAACTTGTACCGTCTTAAAGAAAACAACCCAAACAAGTATAGCTGTCTTCAGTTATTTGCCGGAGATGACAGTTCCTGACAAAAGACACACCTGTGAGCCTGGAGCGCTGATGTGTCCGCTTGGCTCAAGACAAATAGGAAAATTAGGCAGAAAAAACTTGCCCCTAACTATTTGAAACTCTGCAAGATTTACAGCCAATAAAGTTACGAAAACTGTTCAGAGTTAGATAACCTGTCTAACAGATCGCCCCACCCAGGTCCCCCTGAAAGGTGATGCAAGGGCCTCTAATCTAAGTCAGACAACATGGGAGGGACGCTCGGGCTGCCCTGGGTCTGCCATCCTGCTCTCCGCTCGCAGACAACTCCTCTCCACTCCCGCACGCATGACTAAAAGCAGCTTTTCTGAGCTGGATGATTTTCCAGGCCTTGTGAGCTTTAATTTACAGCCTGGCAGTCACTTGTGAGTTACCAAATGTGTTCACAAATCCAAACAAAACAGGCTTCACAAATTGTCAGACGTCAGCTTTCAGTTAGAGGGGGTGAAATCTGGCACATCTGTCTGTAATCACTTTCAAATTGTTTCAGTTTGAGGTCAGATTTATTAATAGTTGGCATACAGGGATGCTTGACTTTTTAATTCCTAAATAAGAAAGTCAATAATTGAGAAATGTAATAAAAGGCGACTCTTTAACCAGAGCAACTTCATGTATCTTTGGACAGTACCTCATGAAGTTTCATGTAGACACACATAAGTATTTATATAAATTGAAACATAATCATTTCCCTAAATTTGTGCTCTAAAACAATATGGCTTATGACATTTACTTTTTTAATTTTCAAAAATTTTTATTATTTTTCCTTTTTTATTGAAGTATATAGTCAGTTTACAATGTGTCAATTTCTGCTGTACAGCATAATGTTTCAGTCATACATATGCATACATATATTCGTTTTCATATTCTTTTTCATTATAGATTAGACATTTACTTAAAAGTCAACACTCAATTTTCCTTACTTTTATTTTTTTATGGAAATGTTAACCTTCAATTTAAAGTCTAATGTCAAAAAGTTGATTTAAACCTGAGAATAACAACCTCAAATACTCCTTCTAAGTATATATATATTTGAAAGTTTTAGATTTAAACACAAAGTAGTAGAAATCATTCTAATGGCTAATATCCCTGCCCTGCATGTGCCACATCTGAGAAGTGATCCATTTTCCTTCTCTGATATAACAGGCAGTCATGTCAGAGCAAAGTGCTAGCCTGTGTTCTTCTAGCTGGGTTTTAAAATTCATTAGTATTAAGGCTAAAATTCAAAGTGTAGCCCCAACTTTGAATGTCAGTATCATGAGCAGTCTTTTAGCCAACAGTTAATGACAATTACATTTTAATTTAATTTTACATTTTTACATGCCTGGGGTTGGTCAACAGAAATGTCTAGCCAAACTGAAAAGCCGTAGGATGACTTGTTGCTTTTGTAACCTTCCCTCCTAACCTGGGCAGGGGAGGCAGCTTCCCGGAAGGAGGACCGCCTACCTGTGCAGCATGTGTAACGATATCACGAGCTGAGGCTCGTTAGTCGTCTGGGAGCGGATGAGCTTGCTCTTCGTCTGCGCGGCCACAAGAGTGCCGTCAGACAAGGAGAAACGGTAGATCTGACTGAATGCCAGCCCTTGTCTCAGCACTGCAGGCAAGGAGACAACGCATGTTTAGAAACAAAATCGGGGCGGGGGAGGACAAGACATAATAACAGTAAAAAACACCATTAAGTTTAGTATTTCCCTATCAGCAAGTTAAACCGAGTTGTAAGTAATATTTCACGATATTAGAACACTATAAATTTTTAAAAGCACATTTATCTTTCACTCAAAATACCAATAAATTCAATATATTGAGTTTCTTCCCCAGCTGAAGCTTGGACCCTCAAATTATGATCTTTTAAAAATCTTCAGTATCATGGCAAAACAGTGTAACCAATTTATTAGCTCAAAATGAGCTTTACAATGCTTTGTTTAAAATGTGAGAAAACAATACAATGATACCTCTAAAGTGTACAAGGTGCCTTTAATTTCTCTTTAAACTAATAAAAGTATTACAGTAAAACTTAGATGACATTGAATATATCCTTCAAATATTCATCTTGAAGTTACGTACTGTTCAATCCATCATTCCACACTACTATTCCCCATTCCTCAGTGTATAAGAAATTTCTGTGGTTAGAACAACAGGAAGCAAAAGATAAAAACAATCAGAAGAATCTTTTCAGAGAAAAAAAAGCTGAATAGAAAACTGAAATAATGAAAGTACAGATCTTCGTGACATGAAATTGGTTTAACATCTGGATAAAGAATCAGGTGTTTCCATTTTCAAGACTACAGTAGAAAGGATAACAAATCAGCTAGGTTAAAACAATTTCTCTTAAAATTTCAGACTTCTCTTTTAAAAGAAAACTTTTAAAATGGTCAAATATTGCATTTTAAAAAAGAACATTTTGGTTCAGAAAAAAAGTAGCCATATGGTTTAGTTACCTCCTAAACCATTTTAAGAAGACTACCACATTTTACCACAAAATCCCCAGAATAAATTTTGTGGGTTGAATAGTTGGTCGCAAAGTGACCACGCACATTCATCATTCTACAAAAATTGCCACAAATGAGAGAGAGAGAGAAAAAAAAGTGAGAGAGAGAGAAAGACAGAGTTGCTGACCTACAAGGTGGATTCTGATTTCTTGGCAATATTTCACTCTGAGCAATTTCCCCGATGGAAGCCCCTCTGCAGTTTCAGGTACTCAGGTACACGCGGTATTTAGGCATTACCTTCTGCACCAACTGTTGCATGAAGTGACTCGGAACAGGCAGAGCTAGAAATGAATTACTGTACACATGTGTATCTTGCTTTGCGCACTATGCTCCTACAAGGTAGCATAAACACTAATCTTCTATTTCTGATGGCTTATAATTTCAGAATTTTATCTGACCTTGGCTGTGATCCCTTAAGATTTTCCATTCCATCTGCTCTACATCAAACATCTCTCCTAAGCAGGTATGTGTAAGCATGCACCTGAACACATTAGGAAGCTCCTCCGTGTAAACAAAGCCTTCTATTAGATTTTTATTCAAGGTAAATGATTACCCATTTACGTTGAATACATTTGGAAGAAATGTATTTCATACATGGTGGGGTTTCCTTTCTGTGGGCCCCATCTGTTTAAACCTAGCACAGTGCCTGGTACAACTGTGTAAACCCTTTCGTAAGGAATCAGGAAGCCATGGAATTAATCTGAGGCATTGCTACTCAGGGCCCGAGGAGTACACGTTTCCTCGTGGGGATTTCTCATTCTTTGTTAATCTTCTTTTTATTTTAAACCAGATCTAGTGAAATGGCAGGCTGATTATTGATTTCTGTCACACATAGCATCTTTATTTCCTTTTATTCCTTCCCACTTAAAGAAGACACAAATTGTTGGATTATGTGCTTACTTCTAAGAAATAATGAAGAAAATGAAAAGGATGAAGAAGAGGAAGAAAATAAGGGAATGGGGAGAGAGGTCATCTACTATCATCCATACTTCTCAATAAGCAGTCCTAAAGGCATTAAGTTTAAACATACAAACATTATCAGTAAAGTCTAAAATCATTGGTGCACATTAAGGAAGATGACCAATGACAACTCTATTTGAGTTACAATTTTTTTCTGCAAAAATGCAGACAATTTGCCATACTGAGCTACGAGGCACACGGTCCCTGTCCCTCTGGCCATGCCTGTGGAATCCACGCCCCACAACCAAGTGCCCCCTGCCGGGCCTGGGAGAAGAGTCAGAAGACAGAGGAAAAAGTGACTCCCTTCCCCACACAGTACTTAGTAAGCACCAAGGAATTTTTTTGTGGTTCTTGCCAATTTAACAAAAAATCAGAATGCACTGGAGAAGAAGTGATGCCGTAGACAGGACCGTGGGGACAGCACAGCGGCGTGGCTGCCAGGACAGGCCTCTCATCCCCGCGTGGTGTGGACACTTTCTAATCAAAGGCTCCTGAGGCCGTCATCTCACCGGCTGCAGCGCCCACGAGAGTCAGACGCCTACTTCATCGGTGGGCTGTGGGGACCACCGGGCTCACGTAAAGAGGGACGACGCCAGGCAAAGACAAGGTGCAGTGAGGGCTGCTATTAGTACTGAAATACGACTCTGAAGACTTGGGTTGAGTTCCAGGTGTCCTATTCATTTACTGTGTGACCTCAGACAAGTCACTTCATCTAGAAACATCTGGAAAGTCTTCAGTGGTCATCCCCCGGAAGGAGGGTGTGGGATCCCACCGCCAGCTCCATCAGGAATTCACTTGCTCTTGCAAATTTCATTTCGTTCTTACTTTCTTTATGATTCAGATGGTACTTCTTTTGCTATTAGAGGGTACCTGAGTCTGCTTTCTCACACATCCAGAGAGCTTGGGTCAAATAAATCATCTCTTTCACTTTCCTTTCATCTGTCTTTGTGAAATTATAACCTCCAATTCAGTTTCCTTCACCACATGCTTAGCCCTACAGGTTCTCCTACTAAATTTTCCTTCAGATAGCAAAAGTCCTGCGCAAGATGATGCAAGTACACATGAACGTGAAGGGTCACCAGATCCGAGTCCCTGGAGGGGGACGTCAGGAATCACGGTTTTGGAGAAAGCATTTCCAAAAAGCTGCAATTTAGCAAAATCAACTTCAAGAAAAATATCATTTAGAGTTGGTTACCTTCATGATGATGCCTCTTAGCATAAGACACAGACTCCCCTTCGTGCTGTGCATGGAACTTCTGAATGCACCTCCTCACCAGGTCCTCCCAGCCCGGCTTCATGGCTGCCCGCATGGTGCTAGTATCCAGTGACGTGATCTTGCCTATCAAATAACAGTGAGCATTAGACCCACACACGGATCTCGTATTCACAGAAATAATTAAATCTTAAAAAGATTAAAATTTATTTATTTAGACCTGGTAGCACAGCGCGCTGACCACGAGAGTAGACTGTGAAAACAATAATCACGAGGAAGCCCCGACCCCTCCCTGTCCCCCAGCTCCTCCACCACGCTTTCGCCACTACCACCAGCTCCCTGACAGTCTCCTAAACCCAGTCCTTGCATTTACAAACATCTGAGTATTCAAGAATGATTTTGTGGCCTTCTCTGGCAAGAAAATTTACCTTGGAGATCTTGGCGAGTGGTAAAACTTTCTGATGAGGGAAGGACTGGTCTCTCCTTCATGGGAACTCTTCTAGCCACACAAATCAGGCAGGACTGCAAATCTTCAATCACAAACATTATCATTTTAGGCTTTGGTAGTGATGCAAAGAAACTCAAATATATTTATGACAGCACAGACTTGCAGATCAAAGGGGAGGGTGTCCAGCTGAGGATAAACTGCGGAAGCCACATGACACGTGTGCTAAAAGCATACCCCACACGAGAGGCAGACATCCGAAGCCGTCTCCCCAGCGGGGGGGAAGAATGGAGTTCTTCCTTATTAACTGGCTGATGGTAACAACCAGAAAAATTCATAATAAAGCTCACAAATGATGAAAATGACAAACTGATGCTCTGTCAGGGGCTGGATTCTTGAATTTAAGGACAAATTCATAATAAAGCTCACAAATGATGAAAACGACAAACCGATGCTCTGTCAGGGGCTGGATTCTTAAGTCTGAGGCTCACCAGGATACAGGAAAACTAGATGTACCTTTGAGCAAACTATGCGAACACCCCTACAATGGCGACATGCAATGTAAGACAAAGAAGGTAAGTGGAGTCTAGACTCAGATTTGGAGACCAAATCTAGAAAATGCAGCATGTGCCAAGTTCAGAGTCTTGACCCCGGCTGGCTCCTCGCAGAGCCGATGCTTCCCCCACCTCAATTGTTTAATGTTCTGGGTTCACTTCTGGAGAACAGGGAAGTGTTTTATTTATCTTGTAACATGCAGAGCATACTGCAAGCCTTTTCAGTTTCAGAAATGCTGGATAAAAAGGTTGATAACAAATGTCTCTTCGGGGGCTGTGGGTACAGTTCAGTGGTAGAGTGCGTGCTTATCAAAATGCACGAGATCCTGAGTTCAATCCCCAGCACCTCCATTAAAAACAAAAAGTCACTTCATATCTATGTCACTGATTTATGATCATTCACCTTTAAATTTGGGGGAAATTTTCTTTAAATATATCCAGTAATAGTACCACACACAAAAAAATATAATCGTCATCCACATGATAAAAGCTAAGGTTTGGAGCATTTACAATGAGACAGGTATCTTTCTAGCTACTTTACAGGCTACTAATTCACTGAATCCTTTTAATAACTCTGTGAGGCAGGCACTAGCATCATCTCCATTTAACAGAGGAGAAAACCAAAGCACAAAGTTTCAGCGACTTGCCCAACATCACGCAAAACTTTGGCGAAGCTGGGACTTGAACCCAAGCACACCATGGCTCAGAAACTCCACCCTTACGCTATACTGCATCAATATCCAGAATCAGATTTTAAATGTACAAAAATGGTTAAATGTACGGCACAGAATCATCAATGAGCTCGGCTGCAGAGTATTTTCGGTGAATCAGCAGCACTTACTCTGCTGTGTACAGGAGAATAAAATCACCTGACAGTTCGTATCTACGGAAAAATTTAATTTTGAAAACTATGTATCATCTGTGACAGCTCTATTTCTTTCCAATAAAATTTAAATTAAAAACTACTGCCATATTTTTTAAAAGAGGGTTAAATATCTAGTACTGAGTGCCAATCACAGTTCAGGCATATTCATTTAAGCCTTATTACTCTGTGATACTGGCAGTGTTGACTTCACTGGTTGAGAGAGCAAACGGATGTTCAGAGAGGTCAGAGCTGGTAAGTGGCTGAATTAGGAGCCGGCCTGTCTGATTATTAAGCTCATGATGTTTCCTTTCACCAACGGTCCTAGCTCTTCCCCTCGTGCTCTGCATGCAGAATGTGCTCGGCAGCCCTGTCCCATGTCACAGGCAGTGACACTCAGAGGTGTGGAATGGACTGCTCAGAGGGCGTAGGGGGTGGACACTACATCAGCATGTCTTTAAGGGGAAGAGCCTGAGAGCTCACAGCCTGGAGCCCTTTCCCTACTCCCCACGCATCTCTATCCTCTCAAGTGTCATTCTCCTACATCGTACTCTGGGCCCAGCACCCACGGATAAACCACATGAAGTTCATGACTCCCTTGAAGGTATATGAAAAATGTTTGGGCTGGGTGCATTTTCCAAGCTCGCAGTAGGTTCAGAGGAGCCTAGGATCCCCAAGAGGTTCACACGCTAGCAGAGCTGCTCTAGCACGTGGCTACTAAGCCACGTGTGGCTATTTAATGTCAACTTCGTGGAAGAGAAAACGTGCTCCCCCAGTTGCATTTCGGACATTTCAAATGCTCAAAAGCCACATGCAGCCAGTGGCTGAGGCATCAGACACTGAACGTGTAGAAAAGAGAAACTGCCTCTAAATTCTTCTTTGTGTGGCCTCCAATTTTAGATGACTGAGCATGAAAGCAGCAGCACAGGAATACGTGACATAAAACATCCCAGAGGTGCTGCCCTACCTTCTCCTTCTTCTTTGATGGACTTTGGTTGAGAGACAGCAAAGCACTGCATAGTTTCGTATTTCTGATGTGCTTCCTGGTTATCATGACCTTCCTCTTCGGAATCAGGTAAAGGTTTTACCAGCATCCGACAATTGAAAGTATGGCTGTTCCGCCTGGGAGGTTCGCCAGACCAAGATCCCCCGTTCACTGAGCAAGGCAAAAAAATGAACCCAACGGTGTGAAGAAACTTAGCATCAGACTCGCTTCTGCCGAATTCTCCAAATGATGTGGGAAACCTACGGTTATTTTACTTTTATATGGTGTTCGTACTTTTCTAAGTAATTTCATAATCTAAAGGGAAAAACTTCTTGGGTCAGTGCTTTAACAACTTGAGAAAATTCTTGGGAATTTCAAATGTCTTTTACATTTCTTACCCTTCACTCCGACCCCTTCCCTTTGGGCTCAGGCCTTGATTAGTAACCAGCCACATCTTACCCATCCAACCGGATCTTTCACATTGCCCAGCACAAGCCTCCCCCATCACCTTCCGTACCCAGTCCTACACGGATCTCTCTGCTCCTGCCACCTGATCTAAAATGTCAGGCTGCCGCCCCTCCTCCCATCCAAACGTACTCCTGCCTCCTCTTACAGATCTGAATTTTACAGAAACTTCAGTGTCTGTTCTGTAAATTGGCTGCTGCTGAATTACCCTGTTGTAGTCTCTTTGCTCCATGTATATTTTCTCAGTAAGACTGGAATGTCCTTGAGGATACATGTTAATGTCATTTATTTCTTTTCAACTGAAACCTACTTCTGTTTTATTATCAATCCTTAGAAATGTATATACTAGTTCAATAAAAAGATAATAAAAGAAAAAGACATCTTTTTTGGGGGGGGTGATGCATCAGACAAATCAAAGAGAGGAATCGAAGAATGTCTGATTTTGAGAGTTAAAGGGTGTAAAGGTCACCAGATCACCTTCCTCATCTACAGATGAGAAAACTGATGTCTAAAGAAATTCCAACTACTGGAAGAGCTGGAGTCAGAACAAATCCTAATTCTCATTTTGGTATTATTTTCTTTACTGTTCCTTGTGTTTTATCTAAAAAATATTAGGACCAGTAGGACAGGGAAAGAGGGAGTCAAAAAGAGGGCCAATCATTAGACAGATAAACATATCCCAAAATCACTAGTTAGAAAATGCTTAAGAGGCCATCTAGGTGGATACAATGTTAAGCCACAGGCAGGAGGCTGCAGAGGAATAAAGAAGGAAACAAACCCTAGAGAGAAAAAGGAAATACCAAGTTAATTGCCAGAAACTGTTTGACAGAAGGAAACATTGCTAGCTTTAGCCAGACACCTGAGACGTTTATTTCACCACCAGTATTCTTAAAAGCGTATGCATATAACGGAGACTATGTAATCAAAGAAAAAAGTTTTATTAATTCAGGTTAATAAGTAAGTTGAAAGCTTTTATGCTCAAAGTACAATATAAAGTAAGGCCAAGAGCTCTTTAGACAAGTGAATTAATAATAGTGAATTAATAGGCACAGGTCCTCTGAGGAAGTCATAAAATTACTGAAGAGATTTGAAAAATACTAGTTACTTGAAATAAGAAATCCCATTTTCTTGTTCATTTACTGGAGAATATAATAAAAGAATCTCACACGAGTATTCGCGTACTTTCTATTACTGTGGGTCATTGCACCAGAAACGTTAGCCATAATGGAACCCGAAAGGGCCTTTTCCTACTTGCTGTGGTAACAATACGACCAGCTAGTGGAGACAGTTTTCAGAAAAGGAACAAAAATACTTGCTAACTCAGGACTTGACCTTATTCTGTACTAAAATATGCACTTCTTTTTACCCATGAAGATGTTCTTAGCATCATCAGTTTAAGTGAGAATATAAAAAAAGAGCCACTGAGTAAGTGGGAGCAGCACTGTTCCGGAGCAGCCACTGAGGTGAGCCCACGCTGTGAATCACCCACTTTCCAATACGGCCCTCATGATCACGTCTACTTGGACGGCATCTCCGAATCAAGATGGGGAAGCAGGGAGGGTGGGGTGGAGGCAGCACACAGTGATGCCACTTGTAGGGCCACCCAAGAGTCTGCAAAGCCCATTTAGGGCTCCCAGGCTGAGAGCATTTGGACCTCTATACGCCACCTGTTCCTCAGCGTTTTATTTTTAGAACGTCTTATATACCCACATGGTACTCTTTTCACAAGTTGGACTTAAAATAAGTTGAATCTCAAGCTTCTCCTGACCTCCTTCTTACATGGCCATGGAGAAAAAGGACAAAACAGAGTCGGCTGGCTGGACAGGGTCTGCCGGGGGGGGGGCACTGGACAATCAGACGAGCCCCATGGAACAGTTGTTGTATGAGCACTTTCCATCTGAATTATTTTCACGTACTTTAAATACAAGGTCAAATAGATCATCCATTCACGGTCAACGTCAACAGATGTCCTTCTCTCCATGACTTATAAGGTAAACACTTAACACAAGCATCTCTAAAAAACAACTCCGTTACTCTCATCCCCACTGACATAATACAGTTCTGTTTTACCCCCTCTAGTCAAGACAGTGTGTGCATGGGGGTGGGGTGGGCTGGGGTGGGCTGGTGAAGAGGGACCCAGAAGGCAGTCATTTACCTATAGACTTTGGCAGCAGGTTTTTGACGAACTCAGTGTGGTCCCCAACGTGCAGGATGCTGTATACACTTTTGTTCATCAGCTCTTCCTGGTTATACCTTAGGTACTGTGTCACATTCTCTGAAACAAACACAACGTTGCCTTCCAGGTTCACTACAAAGAAGAACCCATCAAGGGCCTAAGGGAAGAGGCACAAACTGGGTTAGAAAGGATGCAGCATAAAATCACACGCGACTGTTAAGAAGCGAATGATCCCTTTAAAGGAAACATGTAATTCATATGTGGAGAGAAAAGCCATCTCTCTCCCGCTTCTCCCAGCATCCAGATACAATTAACACATTTCCTCTTGGTGAAATTATTCCATCTTGGTTAAGTGGGAGAGAGCCTACATCAGGGCTTTTTGTCACAACTAATGACAAACATTCACTCTGTTAATTTATCAGGGGATAATTATTGCCAAGTAAAAGTATGTAGGCCTCTCTCTGCAGTCGCCAAATGAGATTAATGTACTCCATAGGGCCAAGAACAACTTTTATGCATCTGATCCAATACAGAGTAATTATTTTGTATAGTTCCTCATGTAATACAATGGGAGCAAGGTCACTGATAATTTTCCCTCAGTTTAAGGATAAATGCCAAGAAAAAAAAAATCAGAAAATTTTACTGCCTTTAAAGCTGCCAAGGTTTAAATGAAAAGAATCCAAGGTGGTCTCAGACCTTGTAAGAAACAATAATCCTCTAGTGTTTGGTGTAAATGGGGAAGGGGTCTGGGAAGTGCATCTCTCATGTGACAAACTAGTACTCTTCCTGGGGACCTCATGTTGAGATACGGCCAGCACTGTCTAGGGACTAGAGTGGGACCTGAGGTTTAGCTTTTTAACAGTGAGAACTAGAAAGTTAACTAACTGTGCCTGTCCGTATTCCTTGTTCTGTGGGTTGTTAAGATGCAGGTTCCTAAATCACCTAGACAGTGTAGCATTTTTCCTGTGATAGGTGCATCACCTCACTTTGCTGTCATTCCAAAGTATATTACGAAACATGAAAGATCTAGGATCATTTCAGGAAATAAAGAGAAGAATAATGGATATTGACACGTTTACTGAGTTTCAAACACACAGTGTCATTTTAATATTTATAACTCTGAAAGAAATGGTTTACATTTTCTTCCCTTTTCTTTCTTTCTTTTTCCTTCCTTCCTTCCTTCCTCCCTCCCTCCCTCCCTGTCTCTCCCCCACCTCCATCCCTCTCGCTTTCTTTCTTTTTTATAGGAATGGTTTATCTTTTCTTATTTATAGAGGATGGAAAAATTGAGACTCAGAGAGGTTAACTGATTTGCCCAAGCTCTTGCAACTAACCAGTCAGTGGTAGAGGTGGGATGCAAATCCAGGTGGACCTGACTCCAAAGCCCGTGCTGTCAATTTCTGTGCAGCCCAGTGCTCTCCTCCAGTTGCTTCCCCAGCCCCTCTTCCTAGCATGGTCACCTTGGCTGGGAGCTCAGGGAGTTTCTCTTAGTTCTCCTTTCCCTTTCTGACGTGGACTTGTCAGTACTGTTTTGTGGGTCAGGTGAGTGATCAGGACTAGAAGAGTCTGGACATGGATCAGGCATACCGTGGGCCAGGGCCACGTGGTCCACCCAGGTGATGTCACAGGTTCTTCATGCTTTGTATTTACTACTACTGTGGACACAAATGCTATGTGTACACACTGAATGATGAGTATGAATGGGGCATAACGTGTTTATTTTTCCTCTAGTTTGTTTTTTCCTTAAGTTATTATTTAACAGGCTCCTATTTTGGGAGCTTTGAGTATATTCCATCTTTAATTCTATTTTCATCACAAAAGTGTTCTCTCAAATTAGAACTGACCATAAGGCCCCAAAAGAAAGCTCTTAAAATACACACACACACACACATATCTTACCACTTGGTTTTAAGTTTTTCTTAAATGTTCAGCCAGGTTTTCCAAATGGTATAAACAATAAAAGGGGTAAACTAACACTATACGTAAATATCCTTCCAAAAAGGTTGGCATTGACTGTTGGAAACCTTGTATAAAGGTGTGCCTGAAGGGGTGTGGTCTGTGAGGGTGGGGACAGGAAGTCAGTCAGTTGATTAGCTATGGACCAAGTGTCCTTTTAAACTCACTGCTTTAAATACACTTTCAACAGTGATTTTCATAATTGTATTACCTATTGTTCACTTTTGAAAGTACATGTAGCTTCCTACTGCCTTGTACCATGTACAAAGCCTGACTGTGGCAAAATACAACTGAAAAATGGAATTATTTCATCTTATAAAACTCTTTGTTTTTTTAAAGCTCACTATGATATGCTGATGAAAAAAGCTGACATTTGGTTTGGTTGCCTAGCAACCACTATGCTATGATGTAAGCATGAGTGTGCATCTATGCCGAGAACAGCTCAACCAGAACGAGGTTTCTCTGTCTAAATTATTACATGTAAACAGGGATAAAGATTTAAATTCATATCTTCAGTCTCCAGATTCAAAACTTTATCTCTCACATATTTAGCACTAAAGTCCTGCTACACAGGTATTTGCTCAATGTTCTGAATTCTCAGAAGACTATTTTGAAACAGTAAAAATGCTGATTTGATGTTATGAGACAAGGTCCACTGATATCTAGCAATCTGGATATCTAGCAATCTGATTTCTGCAATTAGTGAACTTGCTCTCAAAAAGCTTAAGTCATAGCCCTGTGGTTACTCCAAGCATTTCTTTCTAGGAGCCTCAAAAATCGTCCCAAGAGTTTTCACCCTACTTTAGTTTCCCCTGATGTAAGGAATAAACAGAGGTATGTGGAAATTTCCTTGTTTTAATAAATGAGATTACCATCACTTTCAAACTAATTTTGATTATAATTCAAAAAAAATTTTACAGGTTCTTTCATCTCTCAATAGTCCATCTAGTTAAGAGTTTTCTTATCGGCTTCTGAGAACCAGCCAGACAGAACTAACACTCTCTGGCCGTCCACTGCCTTGTGGACTCTGGGAATTCAAGTTAAGTGTGTTTTCGCTTTTTCCCTGAAAATTATAGTTGGATGTTTTCAAGCTAGTGATTCTAGAGGGCCAGCAGGGTCAGCCTCAAGGAATGAATTTTGTCATTTCTAAATATAAAGACTGGGTCAGACAATCTTTAAATTTTTTTCTGTGCCCCCCACACCCCTCCAATGATACGGCAGATTTTCACAGAATTAGATTTTCTAAAAATAAAAATCATCTTATGCAGCAGCTGATAAAAAGGGGGCAATTACTGGTTATCTCTGCTTTAAAAATCCCAGTTCCTCCTCCACGTGTGGCTGCTGCAAGTCAAACGCCGCTGCAGTGATGGTGCTGCAGAGCCTCTGGCCAGGCAGCGATTCGCAATCTCATCATGTCATCAGCAGAGTAAATTATCCTGAGGACCGACATAATTTACGTCTCAGGGCTCCTCTTCTTGTTAAATATTCACTGACATTTTTTCCCTCATCTTACCACAGCCTACATCTTGAATTTTAATTTTGGAATAGGTACAGCAAAGGACTTGGTGTTTAATACAGTACTGGTTAACAAAATAAGAAAGTGGGACTTCACAGATTCCAGACAGTAGTCTGGTCATAAAACTTCCGAAAGGTAATAAAGAATGGGCAGTTAAGTCCAACCATTACACTGGAGGTGCTTATCTTGAAAGTTCTGCCTGTTACTTCAATTTTCATCTTAATGAAATAAATAACCTAGTTTGAAGTAGCATAAATAAAAAGTGTAAATCTCCTTTGGTCTTCCAATTTTAACCTGTATATATAGGCTCATGTACATGCATATACAAAAATCTAAGAATTCTAGGAATATTTCAAACCATAATATATTATACCACAGAATTTAATAGGACTTGGGAACATGGTTTTCTAAAAGGAATGCTCACCTGGCAGTTAAAGCCTTTCAAATTTATATTCTAGTTAACTTAATTCTACAATTTTAATCTGAAATGTATATAAGCAGGAATCAGGAGCTAAAAGATGGATACATATTAGGAAGCTCAAGAGGTTAGCAGTACTTTAACGTTAACAGTGAAAACCGAGTGCGGATTATCCTTAAATTATATTCACCTGAAAATTAAATGTAATACTGTGAAAGTCATCAACAGTGTAAAAAGTACAGAACCAAAATGGGGATGTGCTACCTCAAGCATCATAGGGCCCAGCGCGTCCTTGTCGATGACGCCCTGCCCAGTGGACGACACGTCTGATTTCTGCACCTCGTCTATGTTGGCGGCTGCTGCTTTCTCTGCAACAAACATGAGTGTAAATTAAATGGCAGTGCTAGTTCCAGGACAGAGTGACACAGAAATACTTTTATTGTAATGATTTTAAAAATCTCTAGTGGGATCAGATATGGCTCTAAGGGTTGGAGAACATCCCCGGCGCCACTGAACGGAGAAAGTGCTGGCAGCAGGAGCCAGAACGTTCACTTGCCACCTCTAGAACCTGCAGCTCGGTGCCCCTTTCAGGCTGCTGAGAAAATGAGTTCAGTGGTTTCACGCCAGTCCCTGACAAGTATTTTTCCTAGACGGCAAAACTGCTCCACAGCTCGGCACAATGAATCTGCTGCAGGGGTTCCCCAAGCTGGGAAGACGAAAGGCCTGCTATTCAGGCTTCGGTGCTGTAAGCAGAGAGGCACTGGCGCAGGTCTGAGGAAGGATAAACACGAGTCCCGACCGCTGGGGCCGCTCTGGAGCCGCTGCCCTGGCTCCCAGACGGCCCGGCCTCTTGTCACTTGCACGTCTAACGCAACCAGAATGATGAGGTCCCTGTCTGACTGCAGGTGCTTAACGATTTAAGGCAGGGAGAAGTGGCACCCTATTGAGCACCGTGAGAACTCCAACGGTGGCCCTTTCGTCTAGTGCAGACGTGCGTGATCTGCTCCCCTGGACTGAAATGTGTGAGGCAACTTCCAGGCTCACCCCGAGGCCCTGGAAGACATTCCATCGTAGAAAAATCTCATGGAAGAAACAGATGCCAAGTCATCAAAATTTATGTAAACTGGTTATATCAAGAACACCACAAAAAGTTTAAAGCATGACAGATACACCCCAACAACTTGCTAGAAAACAATACAAAAACAATGTGCCAATTACTTGTACTGGAATAAATTACACCCTTGTTTACACTGCATGTTATCGTTGTAATTAAATGCAAATACAGGAAACTGTGTATCAATTTAGTACTGGAATCAACTTGCTTTCATGACCTTAGTGAATCCTGCTTTTATTGGGGGGGAGAGTAAGATTTTATACAGTACTTAAAAAACTTGTAAAGCTTAATTTGTACTGGAGAACCTAGGCAATAGTTAGGAATTATGCTGGTCTGCTCCACGACAGAGAGCTTCAGAGGAAAAGGGAAAAGGACCTGTGTAGTTCAAGTAGGACTCGGGACGTATGTGGCAGAGCACATCACGTCAACTTTTTAAGGCCTTAGTACCTGCCCTCCTGCATCACGAAGCATTAACAGGAGTCAGGGAGATGATATGTACAACACACTTTAAAAACTACACCATAGTTTACAAACGTGTAACTCACTGCTAGCATTTCTGTCTTTGTTAGCTATTCCTTACTGAGTTCGAAAAACAGCTTATAAGCAGAGAGTATCTGTTTTCTCAATTACATTATTGTTTTTTGTGGTATCTGTATTATTGCCTCATTTTAGGGCAAAATAAATACAAAATAACAATGTTTGGGGCAATCCATTTCTGAGTCCTTTTTTAGAAAAACTGAAGTATAGTTGATTTATAATATATCAGTTTCAGGTGTACAACATAGTGTTTCCATGTTTTTATAGATTGTACTCCACTGAAACTTATTATAAAATATTGGTCATATTCCTTGAGTTGTACATTGTATCCTTATGTCTTATTATATTTTTATTTTCCAAGTCTTTTAAAAACAATTAATATACATATTGAAATATGAAGATCTGACCATCATTCTGAAGACCCAAAAGCTTCTAAATTCACTCATATTTTGTGGAATTAAAAAAATTCAAACTTGGAAAACTCATTCATGCAGGTTGAAAAACACTGATAAATTTTCAGGTTGGGGTATTCTAAATATTCTGGCAACATGCTCACTGTATTTTCGACTTTCATCAGAAAATACGTAGAAAGAGATTGTATCTGTACAGCAGTTCCTTTCATTTTTAGGAATCTACAGATCAGATATAATTTAGGGTGAAGGCCTAAAATTTAATGGAAGAGATCACTTGGAGTGGATAAAACGTGTTTGGGCTCTACTGGAAAGCCTGGATAAAAATAATTTTCGTCCTGGAAAATTAATCACAATAATGAAACACTTTATTTTTTTCTCTTTATATAACATTCAACTGGTAAGCCTTTAAAAGAAGAAAAGTGGCAGCTAACAAGAAGTCACGGGATGAGGGGCTAGAATGAGGAAATCGACCAGTAACAGCATCCAAGCGTCTCGGCGCATTGCTATGGTCTCCCTCATGCTTCCAGGGCAGGTGGAGTGACGATCTTCATCCCCTGAGAGATGACGCCTACCCAGGGGTGGGGCACGACACTTACAGGTGAGCCAAGTGAGAACAGCTTAGGGCTGAACTGCAGGGAACTGACTTTACGTTCAAAGAAGAGATAAAAATGGCTGGATGTAGCTGAAAATAGTTCAGGTCCACTGCAGCTGTGCTGGACCCTGCAGGACCACAAGCAGATGGCAAAAGCAGCGGGTGTGTGGCGTCTGCCTCCAAGGACATCTCACCCTGGCCTATGATGAAACCAGTGTTAAGGAACAATGGCAAAAAGTTTGTCTAAGCTAGAATTCTAGGGATCCCTGATTAAAAATGAAAACAACAAAAAGTTTCCCAAGGTCAATCTGAAATCGTATTAGTGGAACACGTGCTGGGAAAGAAAATTCCAGATGAAGCCATTGGTTATTTACAGGAGAACTTTTAAAATGTTCAATATTTACACAATACTATTCACACATGTATTACGAGAATGGGAAATTTTCACTACTCACAGGGTAAATGAATAAGAGACAAAGGGCTGAACTGAGGGCCGCTCACTCCTGTCCTCACTGAATGTTTGGATATATGCATCTTCCCGCTAATCTGCCATCTGTTAATCAATTCTGTATTAGATGTGTGCTTTGACTATTTCTCAATATTAAAAAGTCTATAATATGAAGTGATAGAAAATATCCAGAAACATGGCTTTGCCAATGTAACTGGAATCTAAATGAAACTGGCCATGAATTTATGTTATTTGTGTACTTTTCATGAAGTAACCACTACCTCTGTACCATGTTCATTCGGGCTTTGAAATTAAATAGGAGGGAAAAAAAGGACTCCTTTGGGACATACTCTTAAGTTAACTGAACATATACTGGTATCCTGATGGAGCATTTTAGTAGTAAGAACGCTATTTTTATGTCCCCGATATAAATAAGCTTAAATCCTTAGACATATTTATACTTCTGTAAGACCAGCATTACCATACTAAAACACACTATTTAATATTTTTAAATTAGGCAGTTTTCTCAGCGGTCACAAATTATATTTACTTTTCTATATTTTGCATCCATTAACCATAAAAATATATTCTGTTACAAAAATATCCTTCAGTAAACTCAACAGTAGAAAGATCATCCTTGAGTTTCAAACGATCAAAACCGTATGCAATCTCTTTATTACAGATGGAACTCTTAAATCGAACAAAAAAAGAAGATAAAATTTAATTTTCAGAGCCTCCAAGATTTCTCCTCCATGCCCCAACTTCCATTTCTTCCTGCTGCACTTCAACTATCAAAGTGATTCTTTTTAGATAGACTAAGACCTAAGAGAATAACAATGAAAATAATTCTATCCTTTTCTTCCTCACTCCCCAAAGGACAAAAATACCATAAAATAGCTGTGACCTTTTTAATAGCACAGCTTCACAAATGCAAAGCTCTGATTCGAACACTGTCGAAGGATGCCTCTGTCCTCTCCCTCCTCGTGTCCCTTCCCTCCCGGGTGGCTGCTCCCGGAGCAGTCCATCCGGTTCCCTCCTCCGTTTGCCTGTACTCTAGAAATCCAATACCAATTAATTAGATTTCCAGTTTCAAGGCGAAGAACAAAACCCCATCTCTTCAGGGACTGCGTTAAGATGAGTCACAACACAAACCGGGGAGAGTCGTTAATACAATATTCCATACACTTTTCTTGGTAAGTAATTATTCTTTGCATTTTCCTCTCAGAACAAAAGGAAAGGTGAACAGGGAAGCGTATGAGCTGTAGATATTTAAGTGATTTAAAAATACGAAGGAAAAGTACAATTTAAGTTTCCTGGTGAGAACAGAAGCAAATCAGGAACCGCAATTCTTGCAAAAATTGATTTATTCTTTAAAACAGTATTCTTAGCTATTTTTAAAGTATAAAGTGATTTTTTTAAAAGAAATTTATGTGTTATTAAAAAACAGCATTTATTGATTTTTGGTAACTGAGTGAATCTTATAATATTAGAAGGTCTTATCTATTTGTTCATTGGGCAACTGAACTAACAAACATGACCTCAAAGGGCCTTCCCACAGAATGCGGACAGAGTCGTACCTCCTCACAGGGCTGCAGTCACAGCGCAGGGGACAGCCACATCCTTGTGCCAATGCCAACAGCAGCAGAGGCAACCACCAATGACTTAGAAACCAAAATGCTGTTTAACGTCTGCCCATTAGAGGGCCAGTGTGATGCGGCCATTATTAGAGAAGTTTATACTCTTTCTTTTCTCCTTTTTTAAAACCCTCTGAAGACGCCATGGAAAACTTGTGGAAATTAGTTTATCTTAAAAAAGAATTAAACAAGTATCAGTTATTCACTCTGTAAGAATACGTCAGTGGGAAGATAATCCATAGGGTATTTACATCCACATACAAAAAAATGTTAACACTGCCCACAGTTAGATCTCCCTGGCACAGAACAAGTAAGAGGTTCAAGTTGCTTTCATGATTGTCAAGCATGAGGATGGTTGCTTTTACTAAAGTAGTATTATTTAAAGTATTAGCATCTTTGACTAAAATGGAACCTCATACTTCATGCAGGTTTTATAATTAATTCCACTGCTCCAAAATGAGTAAAATCACTCACCCAGATACCTATCAATTTTTCAGGAGACTGACATCAAACACAAGTCTAATCACCTCCACAACAAATTTTTAAGACTCTAGTGGGAATACATCCACAATTTCCATCTTTTCCTGCATTTAGGAGCTGGATGATTTCAGGTGAAGTGCCCGTCAAACCTAGCAGCCCTGGGACCCACGCAGAGCAAAGAAGTCATTGAAACAGTGACAGGCGGTTTCTGGCCAAGCACTATAGATAAAATATTACAGGAGAAGTTATGTGGCATCTCAAAGGTTCTAGAAGGTAAAACCAGAGAATTATGCATCTGCACCCAACTAAAATTAGAAAAGCTGCCATCTGGCTCTGTGAAGCCAGCAGCACATTCTTATTCATTAGGAAGCATTCTGCTAACATAAAAACACAAGGCCCTTCCTGTGCTCTCCCAAATGTGTTTATCTTCTCCACATTAATGCACTATATATCATCAGGCTGCTGAAATCTCCTGCCGTGCATATTAAAAACGCGCAGCTGCACTTTCTTTAGTACTGGGAGGAACCTCAGCTCCCAGTCGCCTGCCTCTGACATTGAGCTTAGCGAACGAACACACATCATGGTTCCCTTCAGCACCAAGAGACTGCAAAATGAACCCATCTCAAGGCCACTCCATCCAGCAAAGCCCCCTCGCTCTCTGCGGCAGAGACAGCAACGTGCTTAGTTTCGTTCTCATGAGTGGTGAGGCATGACTACCTACATGGGATGGGCCCCACAAGTTTGAAATATGTAGGCTCTACTTTTAAAATGAATGGACTACACTTATCAAGAGAGAAAACAAACCAGAAAAGATTCTGGGCATAACTGGCTAGAAAGTGCTTTTGTTTGTAAGAACTATCACTGAATCTGCTATCACCACTGGACCATTTTATGTGGTGCCCCACTTCACACGTGAACTATCAATACTGAATGTATCGATAGGTAAAACTGACAGTGGATAATCTTGCATAGTAAGCCATGAAAGTATGTAACAATTTGTCCAAAATTTTCTTTTACCTAATCTAAATATGTTTACAGTGCAGGAGCTTAGACTTAAAGATAGGTCACAGGAGGAAAAAAAAAAAAAGGCAGATGCACAGTAAACCACATCGTCAGTGGCTTCAGGAATTCTGCAAGTGAGTCAAGCGAGAGGCAACGAGCACATGTCCTTACAGCCACAGGTCAGCGTCCATTCCCTCTCCAGCGTGAGCATGGTGGGTCTCTGCCTGAATCTTCTCCAGCAATGGAGTATTAAGAGATGAAGTCAAAATAAAACATGAAAACTGCTTATTTAGAGTTAATTCTATTTCACTGGGTGCTGCTCGCTAAGGCGTTAGGAGTTATGTGGCATCATGATTTGTTTATTAGAGGCTGAAAGGTGAGACTGAGACTACATGAGACTACATGAGGGTAGAAAAAAATCAACAGGTGTGAAAGAAATAAGACGTGAGGTAAAGTTCAAATGCAGTGCTGAGAACATTTGAGGGCAGCCTCTCAAAGACCAAACTATGAAAATGCTCTATTTCTTTCAATTATATATGTTAAATCAAACAATGCCAGCAAAATTACACTACAGGAGTATGTAATATTTTAATAAATAGGTTAATATATGGAAATTATAGGAAAAGTTGTTTCTAAAAATCCTTTAAAACACTTTGGTCTAAGTAGTATAAACATTTTAACCTGCAAATCATTCTGTTTCTTAGCACAGGAAAACTCACCTCCCAACAGTCCTACCCGACACTCCAGCAATATTTTGTGTCTAGCTTCCCAAGTGCACCATCCTGGTTGAAGATTTCAAGTCTTTTCTCAGACTGTTCCATTTGCACAGATGCCCTTCCACCTGTTCTCTTTAAAGACCCATCACTGTGAAGCCCTTCCCTCTGCTCCTGCAAAACCCTGTGCCTAACTCCCCTCGAACAGTTCTCTCCCCCTCTTACTGTGAGATGATGATTTACACTCACATCTGTCCCTTGGCTACAGGAGACGTCTTTTTACTCACTGGTTGGCACACAGTCGGGGCTCAATAATGTTTGTGTTCATACTGAAGAGTTTTACAGCTGCAGCTGAAATTCAGGATATATAGAATCTAAAAATCACAAATGCCTGTTTAGAAGGATCTGTTCTGAAGGGTTTTACTGCATACTTAACATAATGGAGGGCCATTCTAAGACTCTGACTTTTGTAGTCAAAGTATGAAGTAGACAAGGAATGAGAAAGGTACGTGCTCAGGGCATCGGGAAAATTCCCACACTGGTCAGGCCAGTGGGGACAGCATTTGGTGGGGAGAAAAGTCACTGATGCTCCTTCCACTAGTGAGAGATGACGAAAAACAAAAACAGACCCACTCTACTCACCCAGATTACCACCTAGGAAGTCACAGCCTGTTCCATTAGAAAAGGTAGTTTGGGCATGGAGGGAGTTTTGTTTTTTGTTTTTAATCAGACTCTGGGATTTTCCCAGCCACTCATAGTTCTTAAGAAAATAAACCAACCCAGGTAGATTTCTACAAATCACTCATTTACCTGGGGACCCAGAAAGAAGAGTGCTTCATCAGGTCTCTTGTTCTTCTCAGAGTGGGCCTCCAAGAGGAGGGTCGCTGCCTGAACTGGGAGAGCCATCTAGAAAGTGAGGGTGGGCCGGAGGAGGGGCTGGAATCCTCACAGGGGCGGGCAAGGTTCCTGCCCTGTTCAACTTTGGACACCCAGTGACTAGCATGAAGCTTACACCACAGAGATGTCCAATAAAAGCACAGGGAAGAGCGGGGCGGGGACGAAGGAAACAGAGGAGGGCTGGTCCCCCTACTTCCCATCATCCCTTTTTGCTACTTTGCCAGGGGGCCTCACTGCCTTCAGGGCTGACGGGGGGCTTCAGCTCAAGCTTCCACTTCACCTGAGTGGTGCATGTTCAGAGAGATGTCCCTCAGAAGACTGAAAACCAGGCTAGGACCTGACCTTCCTCTGTCCCCTGGGGCCATTCTTCCATGCCCAGGAGTCCCCTGTGCTCCCCTCTCACTGACAAGCCTCTTGCTTTCTGATCCACATTCTGTTCTGCGTGTTAGACCTGCTGCCTTTTTCTCCCCTCATGTTCTTGCCCATCTGGGTATCTTTTCCTTCCAGTTTTTCTCTACAGATGCAGGGCCTGATGCCTGCGTCTCGTGAAGAGATTGGTACAGCCACTTGCACAGACATGCCTCTCCTTCCCCGCTGTGATTCCAACAATCCCACAGGGAGGCTACAACCCCCAGTTTCGCTTTGCCTACCGCCTCGAGTGCCAGTCTGCTCGCTTGGGCCTTTGCTGAGCCATTATGGGAGGACCTCACAAGCAGGCTTTTTAAAAAGCAGGTGTTCCTGATCTAAATCACCTAATGCAAGAAGCTGATAATAGAACATAGAATCATCCAATTTAGAGACCTGAAACATTACATTACGTTAAATCGTATCATCCAAGGACCGAGAGCATAGCATTGATAACTTTGCGTAAGTACATGTAGCACCATGGCTCTGGCTGACCGCGGAGGGCAGGCCGAGACGAGGGCATACTAGCAAGGAGTCAAGGCAATCAGAATTCTCCAGAACAAAGGAAGTGACTGTAGGGTGAGTGGGGCATCCCAGGTGAGAGCGCTCTGTGCGCAGGGACCAGAGAGGGCCAGGGCCGGCCGGACCTACTCCCGGGGTCACGGGGCACGCGGGCTGTCGCCAGAGGCAGGCTCCAGAAAAATCTTACCACTAGCAACCACCAAAATCTCCTACGGGTGAGTGAAAAATCTTTAAAAAATGAGGTTCTGTCTGGAGCAACTCGGCAGGTTAGTTACTAAGACATAAACAAAAACTGAGGGACTCCTGTGTGGAAGCACAGCAACTGCTAAGACGGGGTCCAGTCAAGCCCACTTCCGGCAGGCTGCACACTCCCTACGGGCAACGTCGGACACGTGCGGGGCCCCTGAAGCCCCCTTTCCTGGTTGTCTTCCTTAGTCCTCGTCTGTGTGTTCATGTTTGTCTGGTTTAAAACGTATTTTGTTTTAGTATTTTTCCCCTTTAACCAATTAGGAACCATGTATGAAGCTACCTGACAGTTAAATACACACAACACAAACCCGAAAAATGTATACACTTGTTCCAGAGAAATCCTGCTTGTGGCAACTCAGGTTGGAACTCAGGTTTATTCCCCTCGGGCTTCTTTAGGAAGAGAGGACAGAGTGAAAAGTGTACCGTCCGGGGTCTGAGAAGAGCTTAACTGCGTTCTCCAAAACTGCACCACGCACAATCTTTACATCATACAGAAACAGAAGTTTAAACCATTCTATTCAAATGCTTAAAACAGTTTTGTTGTGAACTCACATTTTTACATATCAAAGAGTGGGCACCCCCTTCCCCCTACCTAATCTCAAAAATGAACTGGGGCTCCAGCAGGGCGGTGCAGGGATCAGTGCTGACCACATGGGCAAGGTGGTGCATCGGGGCCCGGGGCTGTTATGAATGGCTCACCTTCTGCACAAAGATCACCAGGGCCCTCTTACAGGGAAGAGCTGTCACTTTAGGATGGCATGTTCAACTGTCTAGACAAACAAGAAGTAAAGCCTGATAAAATAAAGGATCTGACTGGGTTTGAAGGCCAAATATATGCCACTGTAGAATATTTAGAAGTTCGTTCACCTCCACAACAAAGAGAATGATTTGATTTGTATTTGTGGGTTTTCAATACATGCACCCAAACTTTGTCTACCTTTGGAGAATGATCACTGCACTCAGAGGAAGAGATTAGGTGAAAAGAAAAAGACTAGAAGGAATTTGAGGAATAATCTCAATGCAGACATTCCTAATTTTCTAGAATATGAAGTCTGTCATTATCACAGTTTCCTGAGTTCAAAAGACATTCTAGAGAGTTCCTGTCAAATATCTACCCAGCAGTTGCTGTATTTCATCATGACAACAGGAATAAATACGTCTTTAAAGTGAGCCTTTATACACCGTATGCCATGAAATCTCTTCAATTTAAGCAGGAGTGGCAGTGAACCATCAACCAGTCTTCCACAACTATTTACAGCAGCAGGCAATGAGCAAGACCAGGGTCAGCTTCATGCAGAAACTGACTGCCTCACCAGGCAGCAGGCGCCAAGTGAGGGCTGTAGAAACTGCGGGCCCTGTATGTTTCAAAGCCCAGCAACAGTGTGGACCAGAGGTGATCACAAACCGCATGATGAGGTCAAAGTGAAAGGAACGAAGGCCAACATTTACAAAGACCCCTACATTTGGTATCTTGACTACCTTTTCTTTTCTTTTTTTTCCCCACTGTGGCTTGAATATTGTTTCCTGACTACCTTTTCTACAATGAAATCCTCTCCTTTCTTTATGTATGGTCCTGGAATTCTTGAGCTAATTTTGTAGGCTAAAGGAAAAAATTTCATGAGACCACCAGTAATTTAGGAATCCTCTTGGATTTTACATGTCATGTGCTTTCAAATACAAAGACTATTTAAGCAGTCAAATCCACTTGCAAGAAATTTTTTAACAATTATCTTCTTTAAAGTCTGACAATTTCATTCTCCAGTAAGGATCATGGAAAAGTTTAATCCACAACTGGAAGATATACACACAGTGAGTGCCACAGCTACTTCATGGATTAAAAACAAAATCCTCAGGAGGTTAATTATGATCATCCATACAGGCCATGGCATACATCAAAATTAACTATCTAATTATAAATATGAAAAAGACATAATAGTAATTAAGTTACTCCCTATCAAATTAATGGGTTTAAATTAGCTTAAAATTACAGTTTTGCTTTACATATATTAGCCTTAAGAGATGTTTCCTCACCATTCTACAACCCTTCAAGTAATGAAATAAAATCTTCATAAAATGTATTCTTCCTATTTTCAATTTTAATTATCCTACTTAAGCTGGATGATTTAGTGTTGTGCTGTCATCAAGACTTCAGAAGAGTTCTACCCAATGGCATTTTGAAACAGGTTTGGCGTCAACCTCGATGAATAGTTTGAATTCAAGAAACCTGTTTCTGGAAATCCTGCCTGCCGGGTGATGGCTTATAGACGAGGCAGATGAAGTGGCTGACGATGACACGTGTGCCGGCTAGGCAGGTCCAGTTTTGAGAGGAACCGCAAGAGCAGAGGTAGCCTTCCTTCTGTAGACATCAAGCTGAAACAGAAGACGATGCTGTACTCTTGCCATGTATAACTCACCTGCCTCTGAACTGGCAGAGGCAATACGCTGTCTTGGCTTTGCTTTTTCAAAACATTTTTTAATTGCACCAATGGCCAATGGGCTTTCCAGAGACCAGAACAGTGGCAGTTGTTAGCTCTGTATTGCCAAGGAAAATATTTGGCTGTGTGTGGGGTTTCCTGAGAGCAAGTTAGTACATGACCTCAATCTTTTCCAAGCTTATCATAATGCTGTGAGGCTGTGCTGATTCAGCAAAGCAATCCATAATCGCCTGCAAAATGCCCCTGCCTCACAGGGGTGTTATGAGGCTTAATGGGATAATGCATGTGAAGCACTCTGAACACCGCAGAAGAAAGGCGCTAAGTGATATTATTATTCTGCTTTTCTAATTACAAGCAGCCTCACAAAGACAAGAATCCAATAAACCTGTTTACAAATTACAAATGAAACCTACTTTAAATAATTCAATATGAATAACAGTATAACAAAGAAAAATGTGAAATCATTCATGTTTGAAAAATGGAATGGACAGACTTCATAAGGCTAAGTCAAATGAAAAGAAATAGAAATAGACAAGTTTCTACTGAAAGGAAATTATATCCCTTAGTGATAAAACAGAAATTGAATCAGAAACTTGTAAGAGGATATTTTACTCAAGTTACCTTGAGACATTGCTGTTAATGAATTAAATTTAGTATCATTTCTATGGTTTTCCTACCAATAAATTTAAATTTTTAAAAAATCAATGTCAGTATTAACAGTAATAAAATCTCTTCAGTTATTTATGGTAACACCAAAAACATAAATTATAGCTCTTATTGGAATAAAATGTGAGAACTGAATGTAAATTTCTTTCTTTTTAAAATATTAAAACAATGCTGTTTTTTTTTTGTTTTTTTTTTTTGGCCAACAGCATTTGTCTCCTAAATGGGAAACACCTGTCTGGCATCTTTCTCGACTAACCCGGGTAGGGGATCAACGACACAGGAAAATCCACTTTGATGGGGGCGTCTCCAAAGAAGCAGGCCAGGCTGAGGTGGCCCTGCTGGGCTCTTGGGTACCACCACCTTCCTGGATAAGACTGGGGCCCTCTTGGTCCCTGGTGTCATTTCTTCCGGGAAATCTTGGGCAGCCAACTTTTTTTACCGCCTGTTCCTCCGTAACACAGACACGCTCTCACTACACCATATGGAAATCACCTGATTTGATCTGGAGCCCCCCCCCCACCAGAATTCCCTCAAGACTGTCAAGTCCCTGTGCCAGGGGTTGGATTTTTCACCTGTGCATCCCCATCATCTCTGTCAGGTCCACAATGACCCACGCAGACACTCAGCCCAAGCGGGGTGAACCGAGCCGCACGCTGGAGGAAGCAATGGAAAGCGCCCTCAGGTGGTCTGGGCGGCTGTACAGGATCAACGCCAAGCACGCAGATGGTCTAAGGGATTTCACTTCCTAATTTTTATTTATAAATTTGTTTTCAAAAAGTAATATTTCACGTTTTTAAAGGGAACATAAGCATGGTATTAGATGGTGAGGATTCCAGGATAAAAAAGACAAGCCCTGCCATCCTGTGTGTGTAACACACACTGGTGAAGCCAAGTGCTGACGGGGGTGAGTAGGCTCTTCAGAGTGTTATGATTTTATGCAATAAAAGAAAAATGAAATCTATAGATTTGTAAATATTAGGAGGTATTTAAATTAGGTAGCTGGAAGACTCCGCTTACTTGGAGAGTAAAGTTCAGGAAAAGGCATTGATCCAGATGCTGAATGAAGAGGGGCTCGAGTGATCTAAGATTTCACTAAATGCTTTCAGAGTGAACATGGCAAGAGCTGATTACTTAACTCAAAATAAACTTCCATCAACACACCCGGAACAATGCATACACCTCAGGATGCTAACAGGGCCTAATTAGTTCTCTGAAGTGTAGCAGCTCAAAGGAATTGTGGAAACGAAAAATGTGAAGGTTAATGATCTTTTATATTATCCTCTCAGGATTAAACCCAATTGCCAAGGAAATTAGACTTACAGGTCTCAAAAATTCAGGCTGAGGGCATACTCCACAGGAATAAAAATAGTTTGTAAAATTTTCCAAGAAACCCCACTGCTGAACTTAAAAGAGAAAAGCCTACAATCACTTGGCTACAAAGGAGTCTGTAAAATGGGTTACGTGTCTGTCCTTTCTAAGAAAAGTATGAGTCACCGAGTTAGGAGTGAAGCTAAAACACATGCATGTCCAGACCTTCTCTCTCACTTATCCTAATGCGAAGAGCAGGAGCTCAGGCCTAAAACTGCAATTCCAAAGAGGAGGATTCAGCAGAGGACACAGAAGGGACCTAAGGGGCTCCTCAGATCACTATGCAGAAGAGAAGGCGCACAGGGCAATCGGAGGAATCAACTACTCACACAAGAAGGAAAGTCAAAGTTAGGAGACGAATATTCAAAGTGACCATGTTATGAAAGAGCAAAATTGAGGAGGAGTGAAGTGGTTGTAAGAGTCAGGACAGTTCTGGGGAGGACACCCTGGGAAGGGAGCTAAGGGGTAGAACTAATAGAAAAAAAAAAAAAGAACTGAGAATCAGAGCACCAGGACTCGGCTCAAGAAGAGCCAACATCGGCTCTTTACAGATCCTGACACCGGATCTCTCATCTTTCAGGCTCGTGATGACTACCTCCCACTGTCCTTACCCTGAGAGTCCACGTGGAAAAAACTCAAGTGTTCAAAATCTGTATTTTTAAAAATAAATATATATAAAAATAGCTTCACTGTGCCCTATCAGCGATGGACGGGCAGGGAGTATATTCTTACAATTCTGAGTAACTGCTGTATTGAGAAGACGGTTATCAAAGATAAACTGCTGTTTCCTTGAAGCCACTAAGTAGGGACCGAACACTCGGCTGTCCACCTGCTCAACCAGGTAACGCAGATCCACTCCCGCCCTCACTCTTCCAAAGGCACAGATGGCCTCACCCCCATTTCTCAGCAACCCCATGTAGAATATTTCCTCTGAAATACTGATGAGCCACACTAGTTCTTCATGTAACCTGAGAGCAACTATTTAGTGGTATTTGTCTCTTTCAACAGAATTTAAGGAGAGAGGGAGAAAAGGAAGCAAGCAGACAGACAGACAGATACACACACGCAGGGTGCGTATGAAAGTGTGGGGGACCCACAGGCACCTCCTGTGGGATCAAAAGAAATAAATTTAGGGTTTTCTAAAGACCAAGGATGAAACAAGGAATATAGACAAAGACTGAAATAGAGCTTCATTTATATTTCAAAGAACATCTGGAACACGATTTATTACGAGCTTTCAAGACTTCCTGAAAGTCTGTGACTTCTCCTTTGTTATTTTCACTTTATCTGTTGCACTAGCTAAATAATTCCAGAACTGAGCATTTGCTTCAAAGACAAGAACTGCACATAAAAATCGGAATTCTGTGCTGCAGTGGATCAGGGGAGAAGAAAAAAAAAATCCTAGTGGAAATAAAGGTGGTGGTCAGAGGAAGACCATGGAATGGGGTGCAGGTGAAGAGAAGCAAAGGTAACCTTGACCCAGACTCTCGGGTTTACTGTGCCACCTCGAGGCCACAGCAGCTCCTGGCGTTCAGACTCTCACACATCCAGGTCTCACCCCCCCATCACGAGGGGCCTACCCTTCTGGAACTCTGCTCCTCTCATGAGAGTCTTGGCAAGGAGAGGCCTCGAGGAGAGGAGTCAGGAGAGACCAGCAGGGCAGAGAGGACAGATCCTCCTAGGAAACCCATGGACGTGCTGACCAGTTAGCCTCTGCCGTGCCCTTCACCTGTAGTCAACATTGGGTCAGTGGTTCCCACCTTTTGGGGTGAGAAGGTTCTTTTTTAATATAAGTAATATCCACGGAGTCCCCCGGGACAGTTATCTATGCTTGAAATGACATATAACAAAAAGAAAAGTTTACAATAAATTTTGTAATGCTCCTAAAAGAATTTGTATCCTCTTCATCATTACACCATCCCTGTGTATTTGAAACACAGCCGTATACACCTCACATATTAAGAACTAGTCTAATTAGAAGCATTGTTGTTACAACAGGCTCTATGAAACTGGCCCAGGAATCTCATCACCAAAACCAAACTGGTTTGGTGGAAAATATCCTCCATTCCAAACAATTAGCTTACAGATAGATCTTAGCAGAAAAAATGGGTTTTTAAAGTTGATTCTTTGTGTTTCTTTCTTATGAAAGCACGGCATATAGGGGGAAAAAAACCTCACTATTCAATCACATAAGAGACACACACCCATATAATCAAAAAGACAGAAATAATTAACTTCTTTCACTTTTAACAATTTTAGTTCTCTAATGATATTCCAATAAAATGTGCTATATGTTATTTTTTTTCCCCCAACCTGATATAAAAGATCTACAAATTGCAAACAAACTATCAAAAGAAGAAGAGCTCTTAGGAAGGTGGACTTAATTGTGGGGAACTGACACATGTCAATTCTAGTAGGGCTTGCTTTTTCGCTTTTCCTCACCTTTTTCTCCCTCTTGTCACTGCAATGAGATACGTGTAAAATCTGAAATCTTACAGAATGGTGCACGCACATACCCACCTAACACAGGCAGTTTTATATAAGGAATCACCCCTCTACTGAAATGTACTTCCGGTCTCAAGAAACAGAAGACGCCGACTCCCCGACACTGCTGGGGGAGTCTGTCCTGTCCACCACCTGGTTTAGAGGTACCCAGGAATGAAGGTCTGGGAAGCAGCGCCACGCTGAGTACTGCCATTACTTATTTCACTTTTCTTTCCTTCCACAAGAGAAAATGTCTTATTTCCAAAACTTACAAGCCTAAAAGAACCCTAAACCTATCATAGGTGATCAAGGGTCTAATACTGTTAAGAGCAGAATCCAAGTCCATTTGAATGAACAATTTTTCTTTCCTGGGTACAATCAACGTTATTTCTTCTACGTGACCATGCTGAATTGGTGCTTTCTTTTGTTCAAAAATGACAGAAATGAGAAATGCAAGGCAAAAGTACGCTTCCAAACAGTTATGGACATATAAACTATTAACTCTGAATATTCGAAGTCTAATAAATATATTTTCCAGGTGAACGTTTGTATTGCACACTGTTTCTTTTCAGAACACAAGTTGAGACACACTCTACACAGTCTTGTGTGCCGCTAAGTTCTCTTGTGGGAAACGCGGCTCTCAGTTCCATTCCTTCCCTTCACTCCTGGTTGTAATGCGCTGAGTATTGGGGTGGTCACAATGACTGTCAGTAAAGACTGGCTCCCAATATACTCCTTGAAATGGGAGCGAACACCTCCACAGGCCAGAAGTGTTGTTTATTT